AGAAGAAGAAGAAGAAGAAGAAGAAGAAGAAGAAGAAGAAGAAGAAGGCGGCAAACAAACAAACTTTAATTCAGAATAGAAAATGCTTTACATGACTATGTAGGCCATGGCTGATGGCACTTTTAAAATGTGTATCTTTCTAATCACAGAAACACTTAGAAGAGGGTTGGTTGTTCATTCTCACATAGAAGCTTAAAATATGGTTGTGCTGGAAAGATGGCCAAGTGGTAAAAGTACCTGCTGCCAAGCTTGATGACTTAAGTTCAATCCCAAGGATTGAACAACAGAACTGAACCTTGAAAGCTCTGACCTCCACACATCCATACATTCATGTGTTCACACACGCGCACCTGCACACCTCCCCCCACTAAACATTTCTTAAAATGTTGAGGAATCCAAAGCATTTTTGAGTACATTATTGACATTGACTGCACTGGAGATTAAAAGAGAAAGTAAATAACTATTAGTTCAGCTCAAATTACAGCAAACTGAATGTGAACACATTTTATGAAAACAACTACCTTTCCCAAAACAAAGGCAACTTGCTGCAAAGAGCAGCATTGCTCTTAATTTTCTTTTGACAGCTGGATTCACATCCATGTCTGCAATCCATCTCTTGTGACCACTATTTTGGCTGATACCCATGAAGACTATCTGGCCTCACAATACATGTGTGGAAAGGGGAGGAAAGACTTAATAGCATCTTCAGGTCAGTGTGGGGATTCTTTTCCATGACACCATATTAGGCCCACTGTAAGATGGAAGGAAGGTAGGCCTCGGCATTGCAGGCACTCAGGCTGATGAAACACCCCATCTTAAATGTTATTAGTCACTCCACTAGAAGGGAGATTAAGAAGGATCTTTCCAGAATGGATACCATTAAGTCCATTCACCCTTGGCCAGATGAGTCCATAGGATCCCATCCAATGACATGATGGTAGACCATGTGATTCTACCATGGTCTAGGAAGGACACATAAAATAGAAGCCAAACATTTAAAGGAAAAGACTAAAAACATTCAGAGTTTCAGGAGTGTTCCAGAGACCATGACCCAACCCCTCCTCCCACTGCCTAGACAGCCTTTGCTCTTGGCGATCACCAGAACTTGATGTTAAGATCTTACTACTGAACAGAAGGGCTATGTAGGCTGCTGGGGAGAAAAGTCATCAACAGTCTTACCCAGCTGTGAACATGTGAGCTACAGGAAAGACCAGCCTGACAAAGATATGCCCCTGGGAGCAAGAGCGGCCCAGATGTTATGGAGAGAATAAATCACTTTGGGGTGCGATTTAAGGCCCACTCCACTGGAGGAAACTCATACCTGATTCTGTAAATCTGACCAAGAACCCATGGCTAGGAAACCCATCTTCCCTGGGAGTGAACCTACTATTATTTTGCTAAACAGTATCAAAACTATCCTCCAAATATGCATCTCTGTACTATAGATTGGTGTATCTCTCAGTGTTGGTCAGATAAGCTTCTTTGTGCAGTGGATGATGATTGACACAGAAACTCACAACTGGTTAGAGTGCAGAAAATAACTGTCTGTGGAGTGCTCAATCATAAATAGAGAGGGAGGGAGAGAGAAAATGAGAGATCAGGACATTATGGAAAAATGGGGTGAAAAGATTCTAAGAGGCCAGTGGACAGGGAGAGGAATGGACCAAATGTGTCTTCCGGACATGACAGGACCACTGCAATCATAAACCCACAACAGCTGTAGTTGCCTGTGTATGAAAAAACACAGGATTAAGCAATGTTCCAGCATGGAAAGGGAAGGGTTCGGAGGCCCCACTCCCAGCTGACCAGCTGCTAAGAGAAGAGTCCATTTTCTTTAGGGGTTCAGTCCCTCGTTTGTCAATCATGCGCCAGTCAGTGGATGGCCTCATACATGAGTAACACAAATTGAGCTCAGTAGGATGGTTTTCAAAAAGGCAAAGTGTTGGTATATTGTTCTTTTAAAATGTATACACCTTACCTTTGTTCATTCAAATGCTGATTTCTCCCCAACCCCCAACTCTCTGGTTTCAATCCGGATATTACATTGTAATACTCATTCTAAGCATCCTGTCTCAACTCTTGTGTAAACAGGCCAAAATAAAGCAACTAGACACAATGTTGAGCTGGGAGGAGCCAGAGGACAGGAAAGAGGGGAGGAGCTAGAGGGCAGGAAATGAGTGGGAGAAGTGAGAGGAGAGCTAAGAGAAAGTTGCTGGAGGAGAGATCTTGGAACTACGTGAAGAGATGGACTGGACCTAAGATATCACTAAAAGCAAGTATAATGTGGGAAATCTAAATGTTAGGAAACTATGAGGGCTTGGAGGTTTAGGATGGAGTAACTATTGCCCAGCATTGTGTTCTAGGTTAACTAAATAAACCCAGTCTGTGTGTGGTGATTTGGTTATACAGCTGTTTGGCATAACAGCAAGCTTTACCAAAAGATAATCATTAGTAAATATTAATCACCGCCTACAACAGCAAAGTTAGTAGGGTGTTTAGGGAGTGGAGCTGGGAGAAGTACAGGGTAAATATGAGCAAATTACATTGTATGTATGTGTTGTGTGTATAAAGTTCTCAGATTTTAAGAATATTTAAAAAAAAAAAATCTCTGCACAGCCTCCCTCCCCTGAAAAGTTTTTACCATGATGCTAAAACTGATGTTAATTACACATGTCCACAAATATCAAAACCCTAAATAGGATTTCATTAACACGTATAATTTTTACATTTTACATGTCAATTAAGTCTAAAAATAAATTTAGGAGTCTTTTCTCATTATATTCATAATAGAACAGGTTGTAGATAAATCACTTCCTATCTTTTATTTCTAGTCTTGAATTTTCCTAGTATCATATCATCTGCTAATTTAAAATTTTTCATCTATTTAAATGTGAGTACCAACTGGATGGCACATGCCTTTAATCCCTGCACTTGGGGGGAATAGAGAAGCGATCTTTGAGATCAAGGGCAGTCTGGCCTACAGACCACATTGCAGGACAACCAGGGCTACCTGGTGAGACCCAGTCTCAACACCCCAATCTCTCCCCCAAAAAGAGACTACCTCTTATTTGATGCTTTGGACTGATTTTGCCAGCTTTTACTTCTATTGTTGTATGTCAGCAGTGGTAGTTTAGTGGGGTGTGTCATTTCTAGCTGTGAAAACCAATTCAGTTAATAGTATAAATTATGGACTAGATTATGCAGTATCCAGGTTTAAGTACTTTATTGAGAGGGGATAGTTTTGTATGCTCATGCATTTATAAATGATCTATAGGCTTTGTACAAATGAGCCAAAAGGGCTAACCACTGACCGTGGTCAAAGCAGAATGGTGGCACAAGGCTACACTAAGCCATTCCCTCCACTTTTGCATATGTTCCTTAATAAAACACAAGGCTGGAGGAGTTCTGAGTGGGAAACACTGAATCTTTGCTCATGGACAGGGACCCACTAAAACCACAAATAGATGAGAAACAAATAATCCATGATAAAACTAAGGCTTTGTAATGCACACCACGAGAGTTATGAAGATGAAACATGTGACCTGGAAGAGGCAAATGGCTTTGCAGAAGTGAGGGATCTGGCAATTAAGAGCTTATTTTAAGAAGCAGGTACCAACTTCAACATCCAGCCAGGATACTGCAGGGAAACCAGAGGCTGGGGTAAGACGGGGTAGCTTATGCTATATGCAAACCCTTTTTAAATTCTAAACGTTTTTCTTAGTTGAGAATTTCATGCATTTCAGTCATACCCTCCCCTCCCTCACCTTGTCCCAGGTCTCTGGTATAACAGAGCAGGCTAAGCAAGCTAACAGGAGCAAGCCAGTAAGCAGCACTCATGGCATCTGCATCAGTTCCTGCCTTGTAAGAGTTCCTTTCCTGTCTTCCTTCCCTCAGTGATGGCTGTTATAGCAGCCAGGTCCACCAGGCCTGGGGTGGTACTACCCACTGGGAGCTGGGCCCATCTATGTCAATCACTAAGAAAATTTCCCTACACACTTGCCCACAAGACAATCTGATGGGGGCATTTTCTCAGTTAAGGTTCCCCTTTCCCAAGTGACTCTAGCTTGTATCAAGTTGATATAAGCCTAGCAAGCACAAAGACAATGAACATCCCTAGCCTAGCCTAGCAATTTTCCTGCAAATCTGATATTAAGACAAAAATTTTAAGTTAGTTGAAAAAGTACATGAAAGCCAGGCTGGAAAGCACAGGTGTATTTGATATGAAGACAGGAGGCCTGGGAAATTAGACACTCCACAGCAATTTGATCAACACCACAGTTTATTTGTAAACATGTTATTTGTGTCAATAATCAAATTGACACTTTATACAATTTCATTGTATAGTATTAACATCATAACAGAAAACAAACCACTGTACTGAGTTACAGTTTTGGTACTTTAAAATCCTTTATAAAAAGTTTATGTGAAACACTGAACATAAAAGAAACATGAATGGCAAAGAAAACAAAACACCCAGCAAGAGAAATCACTTCCCTCAAACAAATACAACCATCTGGTTACATATGTTAAACAAAAAAGGCTCTAAGGCAGTGGTTCTCAACTGTCCCGATGCTGTGACCCTTTAATACGGTTCCTCATGTTGTGGTGACCCCAACCATAAAGCTATCTTCATTTACTAGTTAATAACTGTTATTTTGCTACTGTTATGAATTGTAATGTAAATATCTGATATGCAGGATATCTGATATACAACCCGGGTGACAGGAGAGTCTGAGCCTCCCACAGATTGAGAACCACTACTCTAAGGAATCAGATCACCCTATATGATATAAAGTTGCATTTCTTTAGATATACATTTGTGAGTTGAAACTGGACCCCTACTAAATTGTATGCCTTTTTTGACATTAGTAGTTCACTTTTCTTTTTCTTGGTTTCTAAATGTTTGCTTGCCATGGCTCAAGCTATATAGGAAGGGGTGAGGGAAGGAAAGGAGGGAGGGTGGTACAAAGCCAAATGAAAGTAAACATTTGCAAAATAACTGGACACACTTTAATCAAACTTCTTTGGCAAAGAACAAAGTCTATATTTATTTAATTTTTTTATCAACTCAACAGAGATCTGTGTGAGCTAACATGAGTGGAAGGAACCAGCCACACTCATTAATGATGTGCATAAAAACACATCATCCTCTCTGAAATGCAAATGGTCCCCAGAAGACAAGGACTTCAGCTGGGAATCTGATGGTCTCACTCTCCCCACTCAAACAAGAAACCAGGGATGAAATGTTTTGTTTTTTTCTTTAGCACGGTCCCTGAAGTTCATAATTCTAGGTAGGTTCCATTTCCTCTTCAGTGTTTCCAAAGGAATTAGAGCAGCAAATCATTCCCACATTTTAAGTTATAAACTCAGTTATGAAAACTGGATTCACTGTCGTAACTAAAACTGTTTGATTCTTTATTAGTGTACACGTCATTAGAGTTGGCGTTCGACTATTAATACAAGGATAAATACCTACAGTTAACTCAAACAAAGCAAATAAAATGAGATTAAAGAGCCCTAATCAAAAGGAATACTTAAAACTTTTAGTTGAAATTGTAAAAGTGACATATACATATAACTAATAGCGCTAGGAATGTACAATATCAGTTATAGGAAAAATAAATGAGTAATTCACAGTCATAGAAATTATTTTAATATTACTATATACTCTTCCTTTTACAGACAAACAAGACATACACACAGTTCTACCTTATACAAGACAAAGTAGAAACCTAAACATTACTGCATTTACCCCAAACTCAGCACTAACTGTGCCATAGGTAACCTGGTCCAAAAAATTCAATTCTACAGATAGGCCATGATATTAAATGCATGGACACTTTTAACGGTTTCAAGAAAGGCATATACTTCCAGGAGTTTGTTAAATACACAAATATCAGTTGTATAAATAACAAAAGCCATTAAAAAAAAAAAAAAAAAAAAAGAAACCTGTTAGGTTCAAACACTCTCAAATGGTCTAATGCTTTGAATGTTTCAGGTATGCTGTTTGACCAGTTAGTTCTGTTAGTTTCACACTAGCAAGCCATCTCCCTCTAAAGGGAGCGTCACTAACCAACGCTGCACAAACCCAAATATTCTGACATCTGAAATACTGAAAGAGCCAATGCCCAAAGAAGCACATGAAGCCAGTCAGCGCTTCCTCACTGTCCCCCAGAGCTGTGTGCTGGTTTCAGGTCCAGATGCTGTATCTGAAGAATCACCTTACCAAGGAGCCGAGTCCAAAGACAGCCCTGATGCTGCTACTGTACAGTTCCAACTTCAATCACAATCCTTGGTTTGAAATCATCAGTCAATTGCCCTAACAGTTCATTGGTAAAGCTACAAGACAAAATGAGACATGCAACAGCCTCAACTACAGGTGGAAAATAAATTCTATTTTTCCATAAAGACTCTATGAAAATATAAAGTCCAAAGCGAGTGACAACAGAATTCCACATACAAACATCATTTAAAAATAGAATGTTTTCCAAAGCTTTTCATGAGATGTCAATGAATAATCAGTTAAGACCTTATAATCAAGTTTAAGTTTACATACATACCTCAATCATGTTCACTTGGCTTACATAATTTACAGACATCCACAGGAGCCCTAATGCCCTGGGACATACCCCTCACTGCTGGATGCTTGCCACTCTCTAGTGTGACTACCTCAAGAACCAAGAAGGCTTTTGGAGGAAGAGTCCATCTCCTCGTCTCATTCCCCTCAGTGTAGGCAACAAAATCTAAAATTAAACGAGGTTTATGTCTGAGAAACTAACATATAAAACTACTACTGCAATATTCATAGTGACTGCTTTTAAACATAACAGTCATCTACAGCCTATAAAGTATATCCTTAGTTTTATAAAAGAAATGCAGATTGTCTCAAGGTAAAAGTACAGTGCTGGCTGCTGAAAAGCACTTTGCTGCAGTAAGATGTGCAACAACAGGCTGCTGGCTTCAGATACATGAGCACGTTCCCAGTGTCTCCTACCAGTGATGCACGCTGCACCGACGTAGCAGGGTGCTCTCAGTGGCTGACATTGTAAAGCCAACTTAAAGAAAAAAGGCAGAAAGTGTGAACAACAAATGCTGTAATCAAATTATTGCAAATGAAGATTAGCAATGAGAAGGGAGGAAGGCGAACGTCCACTCCACTCTGATAAGATGCCATCTTTAAACATTAAGTTTTTGGCAGGAAGTGGAACTCCCATATCAGCGCAGGATGACTGTGAAAGCACACTTGAAAAGTTGGGCTCCGTGTGAAGATCCAGAATTGAAGCACCTTCCTAAAAACCAAGGAACAAGAGAACTATTTCACATTTACTTTCAGTGAAGGAACAGAACTGATGAAATGTGTATGAACCTGATTAACCAAGAAATCTTCACAGCATGTAAAGCACTATGGGAGGCAGAGAGAAATACATGCAAAAATGGCAAGCAAATGTAAGTACTGTGAAAACAATCAGAAATGGTCTATGAGATAACAGGATAAAGGACTAGTTCTCAGCAACCAGGCCTAGCTCAAAGTATCACCTAACAGGAGAATGCCACAAGAAATCCAGTCACTACACTACATAGCTGAACACACTACACAGACTCAGATGAACATCTTCCCAAGCATCCAAGTGTTGGCCCATGGCCCTACAGTATCTTCCCTGTACTAGACACTTGGCACACCCAATCCCCACTTCTTCCCCAACTCAGTTCCTCTGGATAACAAGTAGTATGAGAAACAGTCTTGACTTTTCCAACTATAGCCTTATTATTTCTCTTTCATTTACTGCATCAAGTTTTACAAATCTATCTCCAGAACATATCTCAATGGTTAAGCATTCACCATAGCCAAGGCTAGTAGATTCCAAAGTGAAACACCATACTGAGAATTTCAAAACCTCCCCACCTGCCTGTTCATTGCTCCTTACATTTTTTGAATTGTTGAACTGTTTTGAATTGTTGAATTGTTTGAATGCATGACTTACTGGCATGTATATAAAATAGCCCTTTACATGTGCATTTCACTTGTCCTTCTATGAAAAGTGCTCACTCACAGCATGTCTTCCTCAGGAAATTACTAGGGCACCTAACTGACCTGACCCTAGCCTGCCTCTTCAACACTAACACACAGTTTAAAGCACTACATCACAAACAGTCTTTCCCGTCCACCAGCTTTCAGCCATGTCTCCTCTTGGCATTTGGTATATAAACAAGTTCTTTCCCATGCTCTGGAAGGCCCTGCCCCCTGCAACCTCACCTGTTGTCATTTCCTTTTTTTTATGATGCTTTTACCACATTTGCTTTTTGTTCCTGTGTGCCAGTGCTCTCCTAACACTAATGCATCTCCCGTCTGTTTGCAATGCTCTGTTCTGTCCTACAGGCTTCAGTTTATATATTGATCTTTTAAGTCAGGACTTCCTTCAGACCCCATCAGAGCATGGCTCTCTCAAAGCATGTGTTAAAGCCTTACTTACAAACATTAATGCATGGCCAGAGTCTCACACAGTATCACATACTCCACTAGTGTCTTCCACATCAGTTTCCTTGACACTTGGTAAAGGGTCTAGCCATAGGGCAGACTCAAGTATTTACTGAATGAATGAAGTGAATAAATAAATGAAAAACTCTAAAATACTGACTTCATAATGTTGAGTCAGATATTCTGAACTGAAATCTTCTATTATGGAAGTTTGTGTCTGAATCTACACAGTGTAGAATATTCTTTCTCTCCACACCACTGGCCTTTCCTTCCACAACATCCTTCCTGGCAGATGTAAGCACTAGAGCTTGGTCTCGGCACTAGCATGCAGGACAGATGATATGCAACATATGGTCAAGCCTGCTCCCTTGAATAAACCCTGGCACAGAACAGAGGCCAGGCCCTGTTTAGAAAGGCCTGACCAGGAAGTGTGCAAGTCAGTTAACCCTTTAAATCATGCTAATTACATATCTTGCTACTGGGGAGACTCAAAATCAAACAAGAGAACTTTCAAGTTTATAAACTCTATACAAACATCATTTACACTGTTTGGAATTATGTTACCTGGAATGAGTGAACAAAGTTAAGTACTTGTAGAGAGAGTTTTCTGCTGGAATGTAAGAGGCTTTGAAGGCTGAAAAGAAAAAAAAGGGAAGAAAACAATTTTTTAACCAAATAAAATGGTTAAAAAGTGAAACTATTATAAGTTAAACTTTATCAATTTCAATAATTTATGTATGATTACACAACCTAATAAAACACACAATCCTTTAAGTAATTGCAATGCTTTGTATCAATAAAATTTTTACATCTTTTTAATAATAAATAATAGGAACTAACAGTATATTAAAGGGAGATCACTTTGAAATAAAATGTCATACTTTAAATCTAAATTAAAATATGTGATAGTTTATGTGGTAGTTTGAATAAGAATGACCTCTATAGGCCATATTTGAGTGCTTAGTCACCAGGAAGTAGAATTATTGAAAGGCTTGGAAGGATAAGAAGACATGGCCTTGTTAGAACAACTGTGTCACTGTGGATGGGCTTTGAGGTTTCAAAAGCCTATCCCACCCAGGAGCTAATGTTCTTATGTTCTCTCTCTCTCTCCCTCTTTCCCCAACTCGTGCCTATGAATCAGAATATGGCTCCCAATTGCTTTTATAGCACCAAGGCTGTCATTGCTTCCCACCATGATGATACTGGACTAAGCCTCTGAAACTGTAAGGAAGCTCCCAATTAAATGCTTTCCTTTGTAAGAGTTGCCATGGTCATGGCATCTCTTCACAGCAATGGAACAGTGACCAAAAGTTGGTACCAGGAAGTAAAGTCAATATAACAAAAACTGAAGTTATTTTTTCCAAGATCTATTTATAAACTGCTACTACATAAAAATATAAAACAAGCAGCTAAACATACCTGACAGATTTAACATAATCCACCCACATGTAACTTTCCAGATATGTAAATTAGTACAAATTACAGTGACAACTTTTGAAGTTTCATAGTACTTACACTTTTTAAAAAATAATTGTCGTTGGAAATTTTCACGTATGTATACAATGCATTCTGATTACTCTGGCCCACACCTTTCTTGTTTCTTTCCCATCCCTCTCAATCTTCTCATTTCTTTCCCAAATTCATGACTTTGGTGAGCCACTTAGTTTAGCTAAGTCCACTGTGTCACCACAGGACTATAACTATCCAATGGAACCTGGAGTGGGTGGGGGAGGGGTCACCAGTTCATATGCAACCGAAGGCAATGGCTCCCCTCTTCCTGAATCTATCAACAGTAAATAGTAAAAACAGTGAAGGTTGTCGTCCCTCAGCCCCTCATCTATCCATGTTTGACTGCTGATGGGCCCATCCTTCTGCAGAAACAGTACAAGCATCCCCATTACTCTCCATTGTTTGTGATTATAATTGCTGTGTCTTGCCCAGGAGATAGTATGCTATTTTCAACTTCCCTACTTCAACATTCTTTGAACCTTCAGAGCATCCCTTTTACTATAAATCTGGTCAAAAACCCATGCAGCAGAAAGCACAGGGCTTAGGGAGCAGTGAATACTGTTTAGCAAACTGACAGTGTCAAGATGCTCTAAACATTTATGCTTACACCCACAGACATATGCTGCTCCCGGCCTTAAAATCACAGAAGCTTCCCTTTCTAGGGGAAAACAGTGCATGCCAAGAAACATGGCTGCAGTGGGCATGGAGAATAAGTAATAAACTCTCAAGCCCAAATTACTGTTTATACTTTTATTCATACATATTTCAGAGAATGGTTGTTGAGATTTATCAGCTGAATACTCTTTTCTATATAAGTTTCATGAAGCTTAAGTTATCGTCTATGCAACTTTATTTTCTAAAGTTTAAAAGCCTGGGAATCTGAATCTGTGGGTATCTCAGATACATTTTTGTGACAACTGGGCTTGGTAAGCCTTTCCTGATTTGTCTCTCTCCAGCCACTCCCAAAGGACTGGTGCTGCCATGAGGTCAAACCTATCTATCATCTCTGAAAAGCAAAACATGCATTTCAAAAAACATTAAGTGGAAAAAATTTTAAAAAGTCACTAAAACATGAGACAAACATTTGAATGTATATAAGGGGATTTTTCTACAAACTTTTATTTTTTTTTTCAAGATAGGGTCTTACTATGTACCCCTGGCTGACCTGGAACTAACTATATAAACCAGGTTAGCCTCCAATTCACACAGATCTCCCTGCCTGTCTCTGGGGTACTAAGATTAAGGGTGACATTTACATATTTTAAAAAAAATCAAACAGGTTCATATTCATATAAGCATACCCATTCCTACACATTCTCATCATGTCTGGTGGGCAAGCAAACTTACAAAAGTTTAAAGCCGAACTATTTCCTTTTAAGTAACTTTTAATCTACTGAAATGAATTTCACATATACATACACACACACTCTCTTAAACTTGAAATCTTTATTTCTTTATTCAGTCAACCAATATACAAGGCAACTGCTGTGTTCATATATGAATCAACAAAACAAAGTAAAGCAACATCAGTAACAACTTAAAATTGAGACGAAGAACATAAGCCATACCTCTCTTTTCTGCACAGGCCATGTGTAGCAATTTTCTGACAAACTTTCCGATTTAATTCAGAACTGAACAAAGGAATTCCAAAACACAGCTCAAGAGGAACCCAATCTGCTTCTGCTGTGGTCCCTATAAAGGACAGACTACTTGAAAACCACATACTTACACACTCTGTATGAGCAGTAAGGACTTCCAAACTGAGGTTCCTAGATTCCTCCTACCCCCTCCTACCCTCCTCACCCACTAGTGAGGTCAACAAGGGATAAACTAAAACAGAATTAATCTCCAAACAGAAGAGTATGTCTTTTGAATATGTATGTAAGTCTGGGGAAAAGATATATAGCTTCTCATAAAGTGTTCCACTTGCTTAACAGCAAAGTTAAGCTCCAGAAAGGGAGTTACAAAGTATTTTACATCTTACCAGAGTTTTGTTTTGTTGCTGCATCTGCAGTTGCTTCCTCGATGACCATTTCAAATGACTCTGTACTCCCATTTACATCTGAACCCGAAGCCAAATCAGGCTCACCTGATAATTTTAGAAACAAAACACTATGAAGATTATAGAACTCAGCAGAAATTATCAATTACATCTTAGCAAAAAGAGGACTTCAGGAAACAATAATGAAGAAAAATTAAAAATCAATCATCAAACATTAAAAAATTTAAAATTAAAAAAGAGACCTGCTATAGACAGCCCAAGATACAACAGCTTTCTTAGTCAGCCACACAATCTATAGAGAGCTGTGGACAAATGTTACTGTACTATACAGATATGTCATTTATTCTTTCTCCCTTTTCATCAAATGATTTAAATGATCAAATGATCTTCGGCTTAGGCAGTAGACATTTGATAATTACAAGAGACAAGTTTGTGAACAGGAAGAGGATAAGACTGATAACTCTCTTCTGAACCCCTCTATCTTTCAGCAACATGAGCTAGCCCCCTTCTGTACTCATCTAGTCACAACTCTTTCTTTTAACTAAAATGAGCCACACTGTTTTCTGCTTACTAATTCTCTTTGCCAATGAATGAATGAGCAATCACCTTTGACTAACTTCTCACTTTTCAGAGCTCAGTTCTAACTGTGCCTTCTTTAAGATGCATTCCCAGTGGCCCCTACGTTAAGATCTGCCTTCTATCTTCCATGCATACTCCAAGCAGTCCACTGTCCCATCTCCTTTCAACTACACAGTTCAAGCAGATACACTTATCCTCCCTATTGAGATTTTACTCTTTGGACTAAAATTGGGCTCAACACTCAAAGGATCATGGGATACTGTCAACCAGTGACACTTGAAACTTTTAGAATTGGTAGAATAGAGCTGGCACTACCGCAAGCAAAACTATATACACACCACCATGTCAGAGCAGAAACCACCACTATGCAAGAGCTTATCTGACTAGGCACACCGGACAATTCCAGAGACAGAAGAAGGAAGGCTACATGGGAAATGGCTGCAACATGTGTTTTAAGGTATCAAGATCCAGACGAAGTTGAGAATTAAAAAAAGAAGAGGGACCTGGGGAGACAGTAAGTGAACCCAGGCACATATTCACAGGAAAAATGCTGACTGTTAAACTTGAGTTCAAGTCCCAGCACCTACATAGAGGCTCACAATTGCCTCTAACTCCAATTCCACAGGAACCAACGCCTCTTCTGGCTTCCCTAGCCACCCAGCTACAGTGCACATACACAAGCATACAAAATAAAAATAATTTGTTAAGAGGGAAAGAAAGAAATGAATATGAGAGTCACTTCCAAAGTCTAACTCATGGAATCTGTAAGTCTAGTTTAGAAATTTTTTACAAAATGGCATGGGTTTTGAAATCTTACTCCTGAAAGCCAATTTGATTCAAAGCCTATGAAGATAGATGCAATGGTAAAAGCTGAGCAAACAGCAGTTCTACATACAACTGAAGGTCATATTCCTATTCCTTCATGAAAACTGTTAAGTAACTCAACATGCCCACAAAGGTTTGCTGTGGTTTACACACAAAGACTGTGCTAAACTCAATGAAACCAGCCATTTTAATCAGAGAACCCACTCAGTGACTGACCTCTCTCATCAGATGCATCACTGAGCTTTCTACTTGCCAGCTGGCTAGAAGCATTCAACATGGTGACATAGCCGCAGAAATGCTGCAAGTCCACTTTGCTCCTCAGAATCTGCAATGCTTTATGAACTCCCATACTGGCACGGGTAAACTCTAGAAACAAACCAGTAACAAGACATTAATGAAGTCTTATCATATAACACAACACCAAAACCTAATGCATACGTTACTATTTTCAACTAGTTTTACACATTAATAAGACCAATTTCAATGAAAAAACTTAAGATAGCTCTTTTTCTATGAATAATGAGTTCTTGAGATTGTGATCCTGATATCAATGTTTGGCATCTTCAGAACAAACATTTGTCCTTAGAATTTAGAAAGAACCAAAAGCTTAGAGAACAAAACCATCGCCCTCCCACATGCAGAAGCACACACATACAAACCTTGCCTTGAACACTCTGAAAAAGAACGGGTGTTAAGCTCTCTACACACAATTTTTCCTGATGATTTGTCTTCTCTGTCCTCAAATAAACCAATAATCACGGGAAACTACTAAAAGACTACATATACAGAAAATCTTCCATCTAGAAAAATACACTTCCTCTCTTCATCTCTAATGCATACCAGTATTCTTTTAAAGGTTCTAACTGGTTGCCTAACCTTCACTGGCAGAAAATCACACAACTGAAAACTACCTTCTGCTAACTCTTTTTACAGCAAAGTGGTAAAAAAATAAATTAAAAATTTTAAGAACTTATTTCCTGTCATTTTCCACCAGTTTCTGACAGGAATACAGGAATAATGATAAAGAAAGTAAAACGGATAGAATTCAAAATGTACCTCCTTGTAGCTCTGCTTCATCAAATGGAAACGGAATATGGACAGTTTCTCCTACCCCATGCAAACCATGTCCCTACAAACAGAGAGAAATACAAAGTGGCAAGAGACATGAGAAACCAACATTTCCAATAACTGCAAACAAATACATAAAGTTGTGCCACATTTAGCACATTCTACAACAATATTCCATCAAAATGCCTTTGACATTTTTTGTTTGTTTGCAAGGAATGACAATCTTATATGTTTATTAACTTCTTGGACAATATTTTTTCAAACTGAACATATGAAAAGAAAAAATAAGAAGGCTGACTAGACTAATTAATAGGCAAAACGGGCTGAGCTACGGGAGGACTGAAGTACATGTGCTCATAGCTCAGCCATAGTTCTGAGGAGGAAAAAGAGAACAGAGAATCTTACTAGAATACAAAATGCAAACTCTTGCAAGGACAGGGCATGCTTTCAATGCCTACTAATAATTACACATACCAGAAACAACCAAAATGTCTCACAACAGAGGAGTGGTTAATAAATCATAGCATATATTTTCCGTTCTTTGAAAAAAGATCGCGAAACTCTATGATCTCAAATCAACTATCCAAAAGGTACAGGGAGCATTAAGCATGTGTCTTCAGAAAGGATACAGCTAAAGCTAAAATGGATCATCTTATTAGAAAGACAAGGATTGGCAACTGAGTAGAGAGAATTAAAAGTGAGTTTTTCTAAAGGAGAGGAGAACCTCCCCTATCAGTAGACTTGGGGAGTGGCATGCATGCAGAAAGGGAAGGGAGGGTGGGATCGGGAGGGGTTTATGGGGGGATACAAAATGAATAAAGTGCAATTAATAAAAAATAAAAAATAAATAAATAAATAAATAAATAAATAAATAAATAAATAAATAAATAAATTTAAGAAAAAGAGTGAGTTTTTCTCTGTACATCTTTTACACGGTTTATCTCTGAACGGTGTAAATGTACTATTAACTTAAAACATTTAAACTCATTTCTTCTGTTGGGGTATTGTTTGGATCCCTTCCACCCCAACCCCGTGCAGCCTGCCCCATCTCCAGAACCAGGAATAAGTTACTTCTTTTCAAGTTGGTAGCTAATGAGGTCCCACAGACTCCCCAAACATAACAGGCTACAGCCAAAGCTTTTGGCTACCCCCAGAAACTGACAGTGAGACCCTACTGCTGATGTCACCACTTACTTGAATCACAGAACATTGAAAAGGCAAGTGAGTACAGTCCTAGAAGCTTCAGCTACATCGGCTAGCTTTCACAGTGTTGGAAAGTGCTATGTACCAAAAAGAAAAATAATCACCTATTCTTAACCAAATGTGAATCCTGTGAGCTTAGCACCAACCTGCCTGACAAGATATACCCACTGATACAGTAGTGTCACAATGCTATAGGAGTAACCAACAATTTTCTGATTGGATTTAAGGACTGCTTTATGAAATAGATCCTATACTTGGCACTATTAAAAGTGGCCAAAATGGCCAGGAAGACCCTAGGAGAGAACCATTGCTCTGCTAAATGGACACAGTATTAAAACAACTCATAATGACTTCATGCTATACCCACAGACAGATCAGTGCATCTCTCAACTCTCAGAGGAACTTCTTGCAACAGATAGATGGAAATTAACATGGAAACTCTCAACTGGACAAATGTGAGAAAATAAAAGACTTTGGATTACTCAGCTATAAATGGGACGTACAAATTATACCACTCCCCTCAAGCCTCAGGGATCTGTATAAAAAGGGGTTCAGTAAGAGATAGATGTGGTAGATGACTTCAAGAAAACTGTTTCCTGACACAACAAGATAGTTGCACTTATAAAGTCATAGCAATTGTGACAGCATGCACGAGACCTAACCAAACTTAAGGAAGACAAAATGAAGAAAGTGGATGGATAGAGAGATGGAATGAATCTATGAGGAGTCAGGGGAGCAGATGAATATATTAGAAAATACTGTATGATATTCTCAAAGGATAAAAGTATTATTTAAAAATACATAATCCTCACATCACAAATTATTCACCTATCACATTCAATTAATCATTTAAATGTTTTTTTTCAAAATGTCTTTAGTTCTCAATATGATTTGAGTTTACAGTAGTGCTAGAACAATAAACATAAATAATATAATTTTATGTTCACAAGTGTCTAGTATTATTATAATGGAGAATTTAAGTAAATATTGAGGATATAGGCATTTTTTTTTCTTTAAAGGAAACCTAATTTTCAAACTCAAGAAATACTGATGTAGTGTGTGTGGTTAGTGTTAGTTAGTTTTTATTACCAACTTGACACAACATAAAGTTACCTAGTAAGACGAAAACTCCAGTGAAAGATTGCCTCCATCAGACTGGGGCATTACCTTTGCTAACTGATGCAGGCAGGCCCAGCCCACTGTGGTAGCTGGGCTGTGTAAGAAGGCTTGCTCAGCAGAAGACAGTGAGCAGGCCAGTACTCAGTGTCCACTACGGTTACTACTTGAGTTCTTGCCTTGATTTTCCTCAATGATGGACTGTGGCCTATAAGTATAAACCAAACAAACCCTTGCCTCCCCCAAGCTGCTTTTGGTCAGTGTGTTTTAGCACAGGAACAGAAAAGTGAACTAGAACAGGCACATATACCTGTAATCCCATCATTTGGGAAGCACAGAAAAAAGGCTCTCATCAGGTTCAAGGACAGCCTAGGTGAAACCCTACCTCAAAGACGGCATACAAAAGGAAGAGTATGAAGGAGGCAGGGTGGCCAGAAGTGGGAAAGTCTATACAGAGAGGAATGGGGATAGAGCTGACAGAGCCAAGAAGTCACACTCCATATGCAATGACACTAAATATGAAATCATACTCATTATGATAGTTTAGGCCGGGGGGGGGGGGGGGTGGGAGGAGAGGGGTGGCCGGCGCCTGGAGCCCGCGGCCCTGCCGGGCCACCCAGCCCGCCAGAGCAACCGAAGCCGACACATCGGCGCATCCCACGCCCCTCCTCAGGACCCGCGGCCGCGCCACTGCTGCAGGCTAGCTAGCAACCAGGAGAAATAGAGTGCAAAATGCGAAACAACGAAATTATTAAACCTGCCAAATACTTCTCAGAGCTGGGGAAGAGCATCTTGCTTGCTTTAGTAGCAAAGTACAGGTATGTGTTGGAATGTGAGAAAAGTGATGCGCGAACTACTGTCCTCATGCAGAGTACCTGGCAGGCACTGGCGCACAAATACAACTCTCAGCCCAGCGTGTTGCTGCGGGATTTCAAACAGCTGAAGAAGTGCTGGGAGACCATCAAGGCTCGGACCAAAAAAATTATGGCCCATGATAGGAGGGAGAAAGTGAAGCGCAGCAGAGCCCACTGCTAAGTACCCACGTCCTGGGGAAGGAGAAGATCGGCAGCATGCTGCCAGAACAGCTGTACTTCCTGCAGAGCCCACCGGAGGAGGAGCCCGAATACGACCCAGATGCTGCTGCCCAAGAATCCTTTGCTGTTTCAAACAGAGAATGTGTGATGATGAGAAAGAGTTCGTCGGTTTCCCAGTGTGTGAGGGGACCTTATAACCTGAACCTTCGTGTTCAGCCATCAAAATAACATTCACTAAAAAACTACAGGGGCAAAACATTTCAGGAAGGTGCTTCAAAAAAGATGCATGAGGAAGAGCACATCAACAATGTCCACCTCACAGTTGCAGCTGATCCAAATGAATGAGATGTTCGTGGCCAAAATCCAGCAGATAGAACAAGAGCGTGAAATGGCAGAGGAGGAACACAGGATCAAAATGGAAGTCCTCAATAAAAAGATGTATTGGGAAAGAAAACTACAGACTTTTACCAAGGAATGGACTGTTTCCACATTTAACCATCCCTTTCCCAACTTGCCCTAAGACTGGGGGGATGGCTCCCTTGTAATTAATCTCTGTTGGCAAGGCAAGTTTGGGATGTGACCTCCGTGGTTGGTAGCCTGGAACAGACCTGTGGTGAATTAGAGTGGTAGTAGCCACGTATTTCAGAATACACTCAGGTAAACAGCTGCACCACATGCATCCCTGAAGTGGCCAAGACGCTGTTAACAGTCTGCTAACAATCACCACTATGCATGCTATAATTCTGAATGTAACGTTTCTTAATTAGAATTCTTAGAAGAACCATGTGCGAGTGTTTTTTTTTTTTAAACAAAATGCAAGTGTGATGATAAAGGAGTGTGGCTGAGGGCCACTCATTGTAGCGGCTGCATGGTGGCTGTTCCCACCAGTTTAGTATACTCTTAAGTGTGGGAGTTTGAAAAGCCCAGCCTTTGGAAGCACATTTCCCAATGTGGCACACAACTGCCTTTTAAGGCTTTCCCCAAAGAGGCTTTCCAAGTAGCGTCTCCAACAATGGTGGTTTCAGTAGAAGTGGGGATGTAACAACGTTGAAGGCTCAGTGTTTATTTAGGTTCCTACATCCTGTTTGAAAATGTCTTAAATTTTTAAAAAAAAGACAGTTTATAATGTATTTCTGACAGATGTTTCTTCTATTCCATAGATATGATTTAACACACAACTAATAGTTGTAAATACAATTGAGGTTTTACTAAAAATCTTAATTGTAGTATTTTTCAAATTCTAACAAGGGAATTTTTTCCATAAAGGAGGTGTTTTTCTCACAAGAACACAGCTTGTGAACAAACACTTCAACAGCAGGTGACATGCTAATTTACATGTTTGACAGGATCTAGGAGACAAACTTTTGAGCATCTCAGTGAGGAATCCCATAGATTAGGCTAACTGATGTGGAAAGCCACATCCCATGAAAACAAGCATGCTTCCTGACTGCATGCACTGTGATCAGCCACCTCCTGCTCCTGCTCCCTCACCTCCCGCTCTGTGATGGACTTCCCTTCAAACTGTGAGCCAAAGCCAGCCCTTTCTTCCATAGGCTGCTTTGGCCAGATACTTTGCTACAATGAAGAGGAAAGTAAATAATACACCTATCTTTTCCTATTCACATTTTATGATACCAAAACGACAACAAAATACCTATTATTTGCCCCAACTCACTAATATTATGTGGAGAATGGGCCTGGGCAATCATGCTCACTTTATAGTGAAGGAAAATGGACACTCAAAGTGAGTGATCAAATCACAACAGTAACAAGAGGAAGTGATGCCCATAGATCCCTCACCCCCACAGATGACATCCTCATGGCCCGCCCCTATGTCGGGCACAATGCAAAGCACTTTATGCCAATCATTCATCTCTCAGCCAATTTCTTCAATAACCTGAGAAAGACACTGGTTTCTATTATCTCCAACTGACAGCTAGAGACACTGAAATTCAAAGAGGTCATTTACCTTGTCCCTCAGTAGTGGAACCAAGATGTAAATTTGGACAGTCTGACATCTCCAGCACATCCAATTGTCTGTCCCCTCCTATCACTATCCCTACTGTACATTTCCCCTAATTTCATTTTCTCAAGAATTCAACTTCCAACTATATGCTGAGGTTGACACTTCAGTCACCTCTCTCCTGTAGTCTCATTTGAATTTCAGAATATTTACAATTGCCTCTACCACCTGATACCTGACATGGGTCATATACTAAAATGTATAGACTAAGCTATGCAAATGTAGAGAAAGCAATGTTTAGGGAAAATGTGAGAATGGGGAGAAAACAGGTAATTAAACAGCATAGGGTTTATTTCTGAGGGAATAAAAATATTCTAAAACTAGGTATGTTGACGGCTATACAAATCTGTAAATAAACTAAAAATCTGAACTGTACAACTTAAACTGCTTAATTGTACCATGTAAATTATAGCTCAATAAAGCTATTTTAAAATAACAAAAAATGTTACACAGTTAACAGTGTGGCTACAATTAAAATGTGTCCAAATTCATAGCCTACCTTACTCTACTACTCCCACAGAAAAGGTCCTACAGACCCAAGTCCTTATAACTCAACTTTGAAGTGAATATCATTTAACTGCAATTCAGTTACATTTGGACAAGGTGATGTAAGTGATAAAAACCTGTTTAATTTGTTTCAAAAGAGACAAAACATACCTGAATTAACACTGCAGAATGTGTTAAAGCATCATTCAGCATCGTGAGCACATTTGATGTAGGAACTACCCCGGGATCGTGGCCCCAAGAGGTTATAAGTAACCGATCATAACCCTGTTGGGAAGATGAGTAACACATGAAATGGCACTTTGAGAGACGGGAAAAAATGAAAAAGTGACCTAATACTGCATGGCAATTTCTATTTCCCTCCCAAAATAGCTCACATTGCTTATCTAACATATATGAGGCCCTGGGTTCAATCCTTAACAGAACAGAATGGGACACAAGAGGAGAAAGCCTCCCACACTTACCTGGAATATATCTGGCAATTTCCGAAGTCTTGTACCTTTGGACAACAAAAGAGATGGTGGTCCTTGTCCAGTGACATGGTAAATATACAATTTAAACCAGACAGAACTGACTTCTGGGATAGCTGGTCCAATATGCTATAACCATAAAATAGGTAAGATAAATCTATAATACTTATCTAAAGAGTCAAATTTCACAAATGATCAATATAATCTTCTAAGTAATAAATGCTTCATGAACATTTAAATTGTTACCCTTATGAAGATAAATGCTAATGAATCCAGTGAGATATTTTTATCTTTACACTGGGATTAAGAGGACTCTGGGGCAGACTGCCTAGGTCTGAGTCTAGGTGTCACACCTTCAGCTACATCATATCACCTTAACAAAATTTCTTCAACTCTGTGCCTCATCTGCTCCATGTACAAAAGCACAAGAAAGTATGTACCAGATCCCACCATTTACCTGCAAATTTCATGATTTCCTTGTTTTTTATTGCTGAGTAATATTCCATTGTGTAGATATACCACAATTTCTGTATCCATTCCTCCACTGAGGGGCATCTGGACTGTTTCTAGCTTCTGGCTATTACAAATAAGGCTGCTACAAACATGGCTGAGCAAATGTCCTTATTGTGTACTTGAGACTCTTTTGGGTATATGCCTAGGAGTGGTATGGCTGGATCTTGAAGAAGCGCTATTCCTAGTTGTCTGAGAAAGCGCCAGATCACTTTCCAGAGTGGTTGTACAAGTTTACATTCCCACCAGCAGTGGAGGAGGGTTCCCCTTTCTCTACAACCTTTCCAGCATGTGTTGTCTCTTGAGTTTTTGATCTTAGCCATTCTGATGGGTGTAAGGTGAAATCTTAGGGTTGTTTTGATTTGCATTTCCCTGAGTGAGCTATCCCAGAAGCAGAAAGATGCACACAGTATATACTCACTCATATAGACATATAATATAGGATAAACCTACTAAAATCTGTACCTAAAGAACTAATTGAGAGGGAGGACTCTTGCTAAAATGCTCAATTCCTATCCAGAAAGGAAAAGAGGATGGACATCAGAAGAAGGAGAAAAGAGAAAACAAGTCAGGATCCTGACACAGAGAACCTCTGAAAGGCTATGCCCTGCAGACTATCAATGCAGATGCTGAGACTTATGGGCAACCTTTGGGCAGAGTGCAGGGAATCTTAGGAAAGAAGTGGGAAACAGTAAGATCTGGAGAGGACAGGAACTCCATAAGGAGAACAACAGAACCAAAAAATCTGAGTACAGGGGTCTTGCCTGAGACTGATACTCCAACCAAGGACTATGCGTGGAGATAACCTAAGACCCCTGGCAGATGTAGCCCATGGTAGTTCAGTATCCAAGTGGGTTCTATTGTAATAGGAACAGGGACTGTCTCTGACATGAACTGATTGGCCTGCTCTTTAATTACCTCCCCCTGAGGAGGAAGGAGCATTACCAGGCCATAGAAGAAGACAATGCAGCCACTCCTGATGAGACCTAATTGACTAGGATCAGAAGGAAGGAAAAGAAGACCTCCCCTCTCAGTGGACTTGGGGAGGGACATGCATGCAGAGGGTGGAGGAAGGGAGGGATTGGGACGGGAGGAGGGAGGGAACCACAGGGGGGATACAAAGTGAATAAAGTGTAATTAATAAAGAATAAAAAAAAAAGTATGTACACATAAAGATGCTGTAAGGTTACTTAAAGGGCTGAAAATATCACCTGAGTAATAAGCTTCACATACAGTAGCAATCATTACAATTATCAATCACATGTTATTTTTCAAAAGATGATGTCCCCTCTTCATTTTCTCACTTGTGCACAGTTCACAGATTTCTACTGTTCAAATACACTGAGTTAAATGAGAGGGGCATAAAGAATTATACAAAAGGCTGATTACAAAGCAAATCTAGCACCATTCCTGTTAACACAAGACCAAAATTCTGGCATAGGGATGAGTGATCTGAGGCAACTAGAGCACACAGGTAGTAAAAACGAATTTTTGTTACCAAAATCTCTTCCTCCCTTCTCTATCACCAAGACCTGCACATTCAGGAATCCAGGCAGGATGGACCACTACACAGCAGTATAATCTCCACTCTCTGAAAAAGGTACATCTTCCTTGCAAGTATACAGACACGTATCTAATTTATTCTTCAAAAGCTAAAGACCTGGAGTCATTTTGACAAATTTTATGGTAATCAAGCTCTAGCTTGAAAAGTCCATCTTTTCTTCTCAGCTAACTTAGCTATCTAATATGTCACAAGTTACTTAATGATAAACAAGCTAAATATACCAGTCACATGTTACAACTTGAATGCAACACCATCTTACAAGAGAAAACACACCTGTTTCCTTAATAAAATGAGCATATTCCCATCTGGATCCTCCAAATAAGTCATTACCTGAGGGGTACAGCTGCTGACTGGCCGGATTTCATTGGTAAGAGGCGCCATAGAAACAAGCAGCGTGTAGTTTTTGTTCAGAACTCTGCTGCAAGTCGCCGGGTCCAAACCAAGAAGGCTTTCGCAGCGTAAGAGATCCAGGGGAAAACCTGAGTTACAATTAAGCACACAGGACATATAGAATTGAGCATGTGACACAAAAATGTTGAAGATGAACTGTTGATCACTGCCTTAACACTTATTACTTTTTCCTTAATTGAAAATATTCTTTTTTTCACATACTATTAGTTTCCACTCCTTCTACTCCTTCCATTTTCTCCCTAACCCCCCTCCCATCTAGGATCCACTCCCTTTTTGTCTTTCATTAGAAAAGAACAAGCAGCCAGCTGTGGTGGCTCACACCTGTAATCCCAGCACACAGGGAGGCAGAGGCATGTGAATCTCCATGAATTCGAGGTCATCCTGGTCTACAAAGTGAGTCCAGGACAGCCAAGACTACACAGAGAAACCCCATCTCAAAAAGCAAAACAACAACAAAATGAACAAGCTTCTAAGGGATAATAATAAAATATAATAAAACAAAAACTATCACTTCGAATTGAACAAAACCAAAAGAGGCCAAGAGAAGACACAAGATTCGGAGAACCACTTCATTTATACACTCAAGAAACCCATAAAAACACTAAATTGCAAGCTATATTGTATATGCAGAGCTCCTATGCATTTGTGCATGCGTAGGCCTGTGCATGCTGCACCAAGACATAGTTTTAAAGGTACGACAACTCCTAAGGACTACCAAAGACACCGAGACCACCAAGGCAGCTCTAAGATTTATATCTAAAGTTTCAGGTCTAGAAAGAAAGCTGTCTTTTAGTGGAGCAATGGTTCTTCACTCTCTTTAAGAGGCATGCTTACTCATTCCAGTCCCATCCCAAGCCACTCTGCAGTAGATTCTGACAGCTGAAGTATTAAGGAAAGTTCTGACCTTCCCTCCCAAGACTGCCAGCTGTAGAGGACTGGTTTTCAACCTATGGGGCGCAACCTTTTGGAGGGCTTGGATGATCCTTTCACAGGGGTCAGCAAAGACCATCAGGAAACACAAATATTCACATCATGATTTATAACAGTAGCAAAATTACAATTATGAAGTACAATGAAAATAATTTTATGGTTGGGGTCACAACATGAGAAACTGTATTAAATCATCACAGCATTAGGAAGGCTGAGAACTACTGCTCTTGGGGGAAAAAAAAAATCACAGCCCAGATCTGATTCTAGCATAAAGGTAAGCATTCCTCAGTTAGAAATTTGTGCCCTAAACTGCTGGCCCATAAAGCAAGGACTCAGCATTTTAAGCAACCACAACCCTAAGCCCTCTAGAAAATATCAAATACTGTTATTCTCTAGGGCCAGAAAGATGGCTATGCAAGTAATGAACAACACCTGTTGCACAAGCCTGACTACCCGAGTCTGATCCCCAGAACCCACACAACTGACTCTTGAAAAAAGCTGTCCTCTGACCTCCATGTGTACAACTGACACAGTCTTGGTCTCTCTCTCTCTCTCTCAACAAACAAACAAACAAAACCTCCTATTGCTCTCTAAAGGAGATGTTTAAGACTGAAACTAACTTAAGAGGATCAGTGGGCCACGTTCCCTTCAAAAAAGAATGCATCTAAAGAAGTATATAGCCTGCTCTGAATGAACCAAGATGCTCCCAGCATAGCTAGCACCAGATTCCTGGCCTCCTAGGAGAGCTTTATAAGTACAGCGATTAGATTTACGATTAGATTTTGCTGTTTTGCTACAAAATAAGGTATTGTTGAGGGAAAAAATGTCTCACGTTACACGGAGACAGAAACTAGTTTGAAGGTAAAACGAGACAACTAGAGCACAAAAATAATTGAGATGGTAATGACTACAAATCACTGAAAAAACTGTTCAATACAGAGGTATGGATAAAGTAGAGAACAGATTAGTTTGCATCCACTGTAGCTAAGAGCCACTGCTGATGCTAAATCTCAGGGAAACACTTGATGAGAAGTAGGATATCTGAAAGGTCTTGAAGTATCTCCTCACAGATTTCCTCTTAGCTGAGGAGAAAAAAATAGCAGTATCATGAAGAAATTGGGCAACACATATACTGGGTGACCAAATTAACAGTACCAGCAAGAGGTGGATGAACAGCACATAGGTCTAGACACCAAATCCTCAGGAAAACAGAGCATCACTTGTCTGCTTTCCTACACAAGAATAAGCCACAGCATGCACCCCTAAGATGAGAACTATTCCATGAAAACCAACAAAAGTGGGATATAGTGCTCTTTAAAAAGAAGAATGGCATTAAAAACCAGAAAACAAGATTTTTTTTTTTGTTACAGAATGAAGATGATAGAAGAAACACGATTAAGTATAATACTGTCCCTAGCCTAGATCCCATACTTGAAGAGGAAAGAAAGCACTGTGAAGGATAGTAACATTAATGACCAGTGACGGGGTGGACACAGACGTGACAGAAGGTCACAATAGCTCCATTTCTAATAAGCCCTGCTGAGGCCAGAATAAACAATTTATTCCCAAATTCTGGGCTGGGAGATTGTTTTCATTCTTGCAGTTTTAGAATCCTATTCTGGAGCCTAACGTCTGTGATCTAGTGCAGGGGACAGCATATTAACAGGAGGAACAGTACCTGGCCACACCAGGTAGACATCAGGGCTAGAGAGTACAGGGTCAGCAGAAATACCCTCTACCAAGGACACTGCCAGAACAGAGGCTGCGGCCTGAAGTCATGAAGTCAGTCAGTAGGTGGCTTATGAGAGGAGAGAAGTGAGCAAACACTTTTCTAAAAACCAAAAAGATTTACACAGTACAGTGAGAAGCTGTACAAAAGACACTACTGAGAAAATCCAATAAAAACTTCAGTCTTGGTATTTAGAAAAGATTTTGCTAAAAAGAATCAGGAGGCATGAAGCATGGCTGCAACAGAGGAGTGACTATACAGGGCAGAAACATACCACGTGGGAAGTGGCATGAAGAGAAGGGATGCAGAACAGTAGGCCAGAGAACATTCTACTCTAAGGTGTCGATCAACGTGAACTTTGGGAGCCTGGAATCAGCAAAGAATCCTACCTACAGTTTGATTAACAAGCATCTTGTGCTGACTGCTCAGATGAGAGGCAATTCAGGCAATCATTTATGAGGCAAACAGAGAACTCAGGGAATCTGTTTCCGTCTTGTCAGACACGAACAGGAACGGAACACATAAATCTCATGTCAGTTGTGTGAAAAAGGGTGGTCCTTAAAGCAGGCCATTTTCTAAAACACAAATGGATGAGGGGCTTCCTAACCTTAGGGCAAAAGGCAGCGTAACCAATGTCAACCATAAAATATACTTAATGTACATTTGGACAGGGAACTATAAAAGCTAGAGTTCACAGCGAACGGCACACTTTCTAAGATTTTTTTCCAATCATGATTGCTTGTCTTTAAGTGTAGATTAATTTCCAAATCTTTCCAAAATACAAGGCTACCAAATTACAAATAGTGGGTTTTATGTCTAATTTATATTGCTCACAATGGAAAGGTGTCTTTTTTTTCATTGAAAATAGATATTTTTCATATAATATATTCTGATTAGTTTGCTCTCCCTACCTACCCAAATCTACATCTTTCCTTTCCTCTCTCTCTCATTACTACACAACAAGCATCTTATGATAATAAAAAAAAACAAACCAGAATAGGATGAAACAAACTAAAAGAAGCAAAAATACAAGAAACACATATAGACACAGAGAAACACATGTTCACACACATAGAAAACCCATAAAAATATAACACTGGGAACCATAATACATATGCAAAAGACCTGTAAAAGGAGATAGCTAGATGATGGACAGAGAGAAAGATAAGATGGATACAGAGTCCAGACAAAGGATGATTAAGGTGAGGAACCTCCAAAAATGCTAGAGTTCATTTTGTGTTGGCCACCTGCTGAAACGTTAAGTCCAATGGCTTCTTAAATAAACACTCCCATAGCCTATTACAGTCCTAAGCAGATTGAAACATAACAAACATTAGCAGTACAGGAGGAGAGGGGAAGAAAAGAAGGTAAGAAACAGCTGACAGGAGCATTCAGAGAACAGGCTTCTAGCTATTAAGTACTGGCTGCTAGCTAAAAAAAATGTCTGAAAGCATGTGCGGATGAAATGAGGAGCACAGTCTGCTTAAAGTATTAGAAAGAGAGTCATATTCATGTCTTCACAATCAAGTACATTTTCATACCATAACTGGGCTGGTCTGGCTGAGAAGTCTGGGCAACAAGATCTTTATTATGACGCAGAAAGAGAATTGTGTTCCTCAGAGTAAGCGCATGATCAAAGTATCTCTGTGCTTCTCCTTCACCAGTGCTCTGGACCTAAACCAAGAGAAAACATTTTTTAAAAATATCACTCTCCAGGCCCTGCACCTCACCTGGGCAGCACAGTAGAGCTGACCCCGGGGGTTGGGGTGGGTGTAAATCAGCCCTAAGGGTGTGAGCATCGGAGAGCTGGCCCCACCACTCGTCTGTTCAGCGGTGCCATGGGTTAGGTAGATATTGCCCACACCCCCCATACTCCCCAACCTACCACCCCCACTGCCACCTACGGGAGGCAGAAAAGCTGGTTCCAGGTCATCAGAGCAGAAGAGCTAGTCCTGCTCCTCACCTGCTGCAGCTTTTGGGAGAGCAGGCCCTGCACCTCACCTGGGCAGCAGAGTAGAGCTGACCCTGACGACAGAAACAATAATTGAGCCAGCCCCGAGGGTGTGAGCATGGGAAAGCTGGCCCTGCAACTTATCTGCCATGAAGCAGCATGGGCAACAGAGAAATGTTCTCCCCTGTCATCTTCGACAGGAAGGAGAGCTGGCCTTGAGCTCATGAGAGACCAGACCCCACACCTTATATAGGCAGCATAATAGATGGTGAGAAACAAGGGGGACGGGGATGGGGAGGGTCTTTCCCTCATCTACAACACTACCCAGGAGACAAGAGGCAGGGCTGAGCCCTGTGCTTATGCCCTCAGGGCTGGCCACCTGCAAACCCTGCATCTGCTCATTCACTGTGGGTATGTCTAAACAGCAGCACAGGAGAAGATGGGGTAGTGCAGAGACAAGAAGGAACAGGAGTATTCCAAAGACCCAGGACAATGAGCACATTGGCAGAACTGCCATGGCATGCAGTAAGAAAGGTTCCAGACATGCCACCCTGGTGCACTGACCTTCTCTAGTTCTATAAGAAAGCTGTCCAGAGACTCATCTGAGAGTTTGCCTACTTCAAACATGGTGACTGCATGGCTTTTCAAGTTCTGCAGAAAGAAGCACAATATTAAAGCTGTGGTTTCCCTCTTTTATGCTAACAACAATTACTATGCTTTCTTTCTAATATACTTAAACTAAAAGATGGGCAACATGAGCTGATGGTTCTTCCAACTACCACAGCAATCCTCACTGGAAACTCACACTGTTCGGAGAAAGCTAAAACACACGTGGCTGCTTTTAGGATTAGTTCTGAACTTAAAGATACTTACAAATCACTGAATGATTTTATATCTCATCTTTACTATAAACATCATTATATTCAAACAAGCATTTGACTTACTGGTGAAAGATTTCCCATCATTAAGAACGCAGTAAGAGTGGAGTCAAATAAGAATGCAATACGCTTTGTATACCCAGTGGACAGACTCAAACTGCTTACACTGGCTGTGTCAGCTGAAAAAGATTAGAATATAAAATCAAGTCAATGAAAGCCTTCTTTGCTTATCTTCTGAAATAAGTCTTTTGCTTCAGCTTTATCTGATAGCCAAACAAACTTAATTACTACAAGCACTATTGTGGTCTTACAACATCCATGATTTTTTGAGTCAGGGTCTCACTATGTAGCTGAGACTGGCCTTGAATTCCAATCGGCCTGCATCTCCAGTACTAAGATTATAGGTATGCACTAACGGCAGAGGAGGGGAACATTTTCTCTTTAATTTTAAGAGACTTTTACATTTGTGTTGATATGCTAGTTAGTTTGTCAACTCAACACAAGCCAGCATCACTGGGGAAGGGGAAACCTCAACTGAGAAAAGGTCTTCCTAAGACTGCCCTGAAGCCAGGTCAATGTGCACTTTCTTGATTAATGATTGATAAGCGAGGGCCCAACTCATTGTAGTTGGTAACACCCCTGAGCAGATATCCTAGGACGTATAAGAAACATGGCTGAACATAAACCTGGGGAATAAACCAGTAAGCAGCATTCCTCAGAGGTCTTTGCTTGAGTTTCTGCCCTGGCTTCCCTTCAGGATGAACCGTAAGCTGTCAGCTGAAATAGACCCTTTCCTCCTCAAGTCGCTTTTGGTCAAGGTGTTTTATAAGAGCAACAGAAAAGTAAACTAGCACAGTTAATTTCCTTGAAAACCAGAAATAAAACTTCTTGACGATCATCAGAGTAGCACTACCAACAGGCCTATGTTCCTCAGTATGTGGCCGAGTGACAGAACAGGAGAAAGGCTATCCCAGATTCCTATTACCGACAACTTTAAACCTTGTATGTCTCTCTTTGGGCTTAGCCTGCACTTTCTCTTGGACTAAAATGGCCTTTCCTCAATGACCAGTGAACTCACAGGCCCTGTCACCACATCCTCTTCCCGAAGGTAAAGGTTGGGTTTTTTTGTTTGTTTGCCCCAAACAGAACTGCTTATGGTTTTTGGGCCATACTCCCTCCCTTCTCTCTCAACTTAATTTCTAACAGGCAAGTGCCATATTCTTATTTATCTTATACCTTCAAGGCTTTGCAAAGTGTTCACAATATTGGTAAGGACTCAGATTGCATACTAAATAGAAGCCTAAAGTAGAGATAAAAAGGAGATGTAGGGCTGTCTGGACAGATGGCAGACCAGTAGAGAGACTTTGAGTTAAACTAAGTTGTTGCTAACCTGGATCTTCTTGACTATTTGTATCAGTGTCAGTAGCCGAAGAAGCTTCTTGTACAGGACTCCTACTTTCCCCGCCATCCCATGATAAGAGCATCTTCTGTGGGTCTAGAGTGCTCCTAGTAATGAAGAGTACATTCATTTTTTAGAAATCACATAAATAATCTCAAATGAACATAAGCTACTAAAATTGGTGCTTAGAACTATGAACAATCCACCAGAACATAGGCCAATGCAAAGGTGTGAGACTGAGATGAGTTCTCAAGTTGTTCTGGCCAACATAGAAAGAGTGACGAAACTCGAGCACAGGCTCCAGGGAACCCAAGTTCTTCTAACTTCTCCATTTTATAAAACATTACATGTACTTTTTTCCTAAACAAAGAGTTTTTGGTTTTCATCAGATTATACAGAGGATCCACCACACCCAGATGACCAAGACACTGGTATATAGAATTCACTTCAACTGGCAGGGTGAATAAAGAAACTTTCTACATGTAAGAATTCTTTTCAAAAGGAAACTGTGTCATACTGGATAAATGAATTACTTTAATCTGTTCACAGATGGAACATTCTTCCATGATGAATGAAGTTGATCCAGGTTTATTACTTGTCCCTTCTTATGGGCAAAGCCCAACCGGCAATACATTGAAACAGCATTCTGAAAAGAATGGAAGGAAAATTACCATTAACACAGACAACACATTAGAGAAAAAAAAAAATACTGCACAAGACAAAGCTTCTTTGATGTGCAAGCATTTCCGTATCCTACCTACACAACAGCCTGGGCAGGACTGCCATCCCCTAAATCCTCTTCTAATGAGGCTAGAGCTGCAGCTTTATTTAACAAGATACCGACCAGCTGCCTCCTGCTGCCCACACTAATGTGAGTGCTCTAGTCCATTCCACCTAGTGGAAAACAGACTCAGGGCTTCTCATCTTGCCCTTTCTCTCTATGCAACCATCCCTTTACCATGAAGATTGCCCCAAGCAGCCAGGATCCGTAATGTATCAAGATAAAAACCAACTAGCAAATCCCGCCCAGTACTTACATTACAAACAGAAGGTAAAAAAAAAAAAAAAAAATCATACCTTCACCAGTGATAAGTCTATCTCAAGGACATTTGCAAGCTAGAAAAAAAAAAAAAAACCTGAAAATTACCAATCCATTCTCAGAATTCTCAGTACATCCTTTCAAAAATGTTTTTTACATTCTTACCTCTGCGACATTAGTGTGCTCATCTATTGACACAAATATCTTATAAAGTAGGGTTTCAAAATAGTCACCTTGTACCCGATTCATTACAAAACCTTCCAGAGGAGGAACTGAAATAAACCAGACAGACTTTTCTCAGCACTAAAGTTTTCATAAAACAACAAAGTATAACTCAAATGTCTCTGCAAAGACAAAAATCATTCAGAGATTCCACAGCAACAGCAACCTTTCAAACGTTCCTACAGTCAAAGCCACACACATCATCTACACAGAGCTATCTAAAGGTTCACATGAAACTCTCCATTACTGAGGCAAAGGAAATACCTGACAGTGCAAACTTGTTGAAAACACAAGAGAGTGGGGGTGAGCCTTGAAAGGTTTGTGATATAAGTCCTTTTGGTGCCTACAGGCCAAGAAAGTGAGCAGCAGACGGAGCCTAGCAGCTATAAAAGCAAGCATCTGTCTGCAGCACCCTACTGCCAACTGCTGAGGGAAGCACAGCAGAACATATCCCTACAATGAGGAAACCATCCATTCAGCCTCCTCTGTTCTCCCCAACAAATGAAGAGCTACCTACAAAGCCAGGTATGGCAGCACACATGAGGCAGAGGCTGGAGGATGAACAATTTAAAGCCAGCCTCAGCTATATACAAGTTTGAGGAAGCTTGGGCTGTGTTACAACCTTAGAACAAACAGGTGCTGATGTAAGTCAGTGTTCAAATAGTCAGCAGTTAAAACAGACTGAAATGAACAAACCCATTACTAATCTAACTTTTGAGTAAATCTCAAATCAGTCAGCTTATCAGATAAGAATAGGGACTAGAATAAATCTTTCCCAATAGGGAGGAAATTCCCAAGTGAGGAAACCACTACCACCATTTCTGTCTCCAAGGACTCATTTCCTATGAAGTCTACAAATTTAAACTATTATTCTACTTGTTATACCATCAACTTCAAATCTAGATTAAAACTAAGCTAGTGTTTCACTTCCTTTTTAATTCTTTCCAAACTTAACACAGAGTTCACGTAAGCATGGGGTCCACAGTGTACTACTGGGCTGACATGAATCTCACTAACATATGCTAACTCAAAGAAAGATCAAGACTTGCTACAGCCTGATGACCTCTCATGACATAACACTGATAAGAGGAAGTATTTCTGGAGTCAGCCAACCACCATCTATTTCTCAAAATCAAGTCATTCTCAGGAATTTGATTTTTATACTCTTTCTCACAAATACTGTTTCAGTATGATTTTTAAAATCATGAGCAACAATAGCTCAACAACACCAGAAAACTTGCTTAATACAAACACCTAACTATAAGTTGGTACTTCTACAAAATTTAAAACTTAAAAAAAGTGATTTCATTTGGGATTGTAAGAAATTTATCCTGAAGTTCTATTTTAATATAGTATATCAAAATAACATTTAAAATGTAACAGTAATAATAAAACCACAATGAATTAAGCATAAAAATAAAAATGCTCTTCTTTAAAAAAAAAAAAATCTTAACCAGGCATGGTAGTGCACACCTGTAATCCTAGCACCCAGGGAGGCAGAGGCAGATGGATGGCTGTAAGTTCAAGGCCAGCCTGTTCCAGGATAGCCAAGGCTACACAGAGAAACCCTCTTAAAACAAAAACAAAAATCTTAATATCTAAAATTACAAAATGATTTGTATTAAATGTATTAGGCTGGTAGCAATTAACTTCAAGCAGTCATTCAAAATATAGTGTAAAATGTCAGCCCAGACTTACCAGCTATACAACTGTCATCTGATATGGGCACATCCAGATAAATAAAGCCTTTGTTATACAAACCTACAAAAGCAAAAGCACCGATTTTAGACGGCACACTTGTTTAAACAACAGTGTTTCTAACAGCCTGACCGCTAGCCTTCTGAATACTACATGAAGAAAAGAAACTAACACAGAGAAAACTAACTACATTTTGTAAATCTTGATTTCCTAGGTATTTTCAGAACTACAATCTACAAATCTCTTACCAGTCATTTGTACAGGTCTGTAATTACATCCACAACGGAAAATAAAAGACTAAGATCACATTTCAAACAACATGACTTAGAAAATAGATCAATTTGGACCAGTAAAGTAACTGGTATTAATTATAAACTGTTTAAAACAAGTTTTTTGTTAACAAAGACAGTAGCACTTACTGTGTACCACATTGTAGTCTAGTGACCCGGAGAGCTGAGGACCTGCGTCGATGATCTTATCAATAGTGCCTTTCTCAGGAAAAGTGCATATCTAAGAAAAAGGAAATGTTTTTAATTAAGTCTGTCCTAATTAACTAATTTCTAAGTCCCCTAAGATGTAGTCACATTGGAATCCATAACTGATAACATGTATGGAATGAATGTTAACTCTTCCCATTTATCACCTTAAAACTATGCACATAACCATCATTTAAACTGCCAATGTATGGTGCCAACAGTTTAGATAACAAATTACCATAACTATCAACATCTCCTGGTTAGTAGTAATGCCCACCGATAAACACCAATGCTTATTCTTTTTCTTTGAAATGGAATCAGATACATGAATCCAAATCATTCTTTTTTATTTTCCTTGAAACAGGGTTTCTCTGTGTAGCCTTGGCTGTCCTAGACTCATTTTGTAGACCAGATTGGCCTCAAACTCACATCGACCTGCAAGCCTCTGCTTCCCCGAATGCTGAGATTACAGGTGTGTGCCAACATGCTCAGCCCAAATCATTCTTTTCAAAAGTCTACTGAGAGAAAAGTCACATGAAGTTTTTATTTTTTGGTGTGGTGAAGTTACAACAATCTGGCAGCACCTTTTTGAAGGGCTTACAGCGAAGCAAAATTTCTAAGGTTTTCTACTTTAAAATGCCCTCCAGAAGAAAGACAAAAAAAAAAAATAATAATAATAAATGAAAAATGAAAAGGTCACACATTCCTTCAACCACATACAGATATGCCTTGGTCTCTAGACCTACAGAGTACCCTGCCCTTTTTTCAATCAGCATCTCTTTCAAATGTGTGCAGCTTGAACTAACTTGTGGGGAAATCGCTGCTCTTGATCTTGACACTCTATCTCCATCAGGGCACTTACCCTATTTCAGTATAATTCAAAGAAACTGCCTGAGTATCTAGTAATCTTGGACCTAAATGACTTGAGTCATTTAGTTAACTGTGGTGTGTTCACTTTCTTCTTTGTGAACTAGGATACAAACAATATGTTTGTCTTGAGTTTTAAAGAAGATAAGAACATAGTTAATTAGTGTATGGCACATGTGCACATAGTCAGTGTTCAGAAGTATCAGCCATGTTACTGTGGCTGCTAGGTGTGACATCATATCACTTTACACAAGACCACCTATTAAGATCCTAGATTACTGTATATGAACCAAATCATGTTTCCTGCAGCGTTAAAAAGAGTCTTGCAAACTCCACCTCCTAACCTATTAAGATCATTTGAATTAGCTTAATTTTCTACAGAAAAATTACTTTTTAAAACATTATGTAATATAATTAAGAACTATAAAATAAGTTAAAAAAATTAAAACTCTGGTTTTAATCTTCCCTTTTCCTTGGCTTTTAATCTATGCGATCTCTACCTTGATGTCATCTTCTGTGATATATCCAGCCTGCACCACCCACCATGCCTCGATGGCAATTTCCACTGGCTTTATTGGTAGAAGGTCACGGGCAGTTTTCCTTCTGAAGAATTTCTGCAATAATACAACATTTAAGGACTTGCAGCCAACTGAAATTACTACTTTCTTCTACCATCACAGAAAACATTACAACAGGCTAAATCTTTTCAAATTTTCATGTTTAAAATGCTAACTAGTCTATTTACTATAGCACCATTCTTAACATATTTTAAAATAAATTACTTAAACCTAGACTTCAATCCAGAAACAATTCAAATGAAACCCAAGACTTTAAAACCCTGCACTTGAAAATGTGAACTTATTTCACCCATTAAGTGAATACAGGGCTAAATTAGCCAAATAAAAGACAAGCAAAGAAAAGTTAACTTCAAAAATAAATGCTGTATGTTGTAACTCATTTATCACTTAAGCTATAACCCTGTGAATCCTGAAGATCTATTCAGTACTCCTATGATATGCACAATAACTGGTTCACGTTAGAGTTTGTTATTCCTACCACTCTAAACCAAACTTTGGTTATAACCCAGTTCTGACAAGGAGGCTGTAAAGAGAAAGGAGACAACTTACTTTTGAAGATCTACACTGATTCATGAGGTCAATATACTGGTTTCTTCCTATGCCAAGAAGCCGCAGACCTGAAAGCAAGTCTTCCCTTTAATACGCCTTGAAATATGAGGATACTACACTAAATGACATTAGCAAAAATTCCAAGTTTATATTCTTTTAATAATTGACTGACATGGTCCATTAATATCAAATTAAAAAGAATTTGTCACACAATACAGATGAAATCTCAACTTTGGGAATGAGGAACTCAAGTTGCCACTTCTGACAATGTTACTGAGGACAGGCTGACAGAGCAGAAGTCCTCCCAGTTTTAACAAGTAAAATAATGCTTTTCAGCAGAAGCTTCTGACATACACAACTACATCAAATGTGAAATAGAAACTTCACTAAGCTAAGCACGGGGATACAGAGCACATGGTGTTTGTGGAACTCCACGAACTACTGTATGTGAAGAATACTGTGCACAGGTTGTCCTTCTACAGCCCATGTAACATCAAGAACTTCAGTCTCTAGAGCAGCGGTTCTCAACCTTCCTAATGCTGCAACCCTTTAATACAGTTCTTCATGTTGTGGTGACCCCAACCATAGAATTATTTTTGTTGTTACTTATACAGTAAATTTGCTACTGTTATGAACCACAATGTAAATATCTGTTTCCTGATGGCCATAGTGAACCCCTGTGAAAGGGTTGTTCAACCCCAAAGGGGTCACAACCCACAGGCTGAGAACTACTGCTCTAGAATAAAGGCTAGTCCTCACTTTCCCACTCCAAAATTCTTCTTCCCATTGATATTAGGCTAAATAGCATACCTGATTTGTGTTATGCAATAATGTACCCATTGATAATGTGGCTCTCAATTTTTAAACTCACAATCCTAACAAACAACATGCTTGCAGGAAGACACAATCTAAGTGTTACTCCTTCCCATCTGGATACTCACAGTCAGCGGCAGTAAAATTAGGCAATGAATCATAGCTTTTCTCACTGTTCATGATGTCCTTTGAAAAAGAAAAAATACAAAATTTGAAGTGCAACTTTCCTTAAATGAAAAAGAGTATCTGTGTGTATTGTTATGGCTGAATAGAACAATTATTATTATTACTATTATTATTTTATTATGGAAGACAGTGGATCATAGCTGATACCCTAAACATGCAAGCACCTATGGAACTAAGTCATGGCAAAAACCTAGTAAAGGCAGGGTGGGCTTTAGATTTGGATTTCTTAAAACTCTGTGAGTCCCAGACAGTTAACCTATAGTCTCCATTAGAGCTCAGCATTCTAGCTTTTGAACCTCCTTAGCAGATCCTACATTCCTATCTTGATAGAAGGCCAATAATGTGTCAAGTCTATCAACATGCACCTGAAATGCACACTACCTATAAACATTCTAATTATTTCCAAGCCTTTGCTCCTATCTCAGTATCAAATTAAACTTAGTATCTGGCTTTCTCAACCCCAATCGTCTCCAATCATACTGAACTACTGTTGGATAAGACCCATCTTTCAACACAATTATTTAAAAACAAAACCCAGAGTGAGCATGTGAATATAATTGAAAGCTGGCAAATGTAAAAAAAAAAATCTATCTGTTGTACCGTAACCTTGTGGCTACCAGAAAAAGAACTGCAGAGACAAGAGGAAGAAGCTGACCAGCTCCCTTTTGTCTTGCTTCGTCATCATGCCACCCGCCACTATCAGGACTGCAAAAGAACTTCAGAGACACAAGCAACACAAGTGCCCATAGAAAAGTGGGTTCCAGAGCTAATGGAAAGACTTGAAGTCAGAGATGAGCACGTCACGAAGAGTACGAGCTTCCCCACTACTGCAGCTGCTTACTTTCTCTGACACACGCTTCTAGGCTCCTCCATTGTCTACAGAGCCAGTAACAGAACTTAGATATAAAGAGTGAAAAATACTAGACATTAATGCCAATCGTTATAGAAAGCTCACTCAAAAAAACAGTATAGGACTGCTACCAAAGTTATTCAACAAGAACCAAGTACAAACTAGCTTTGAAATAAAAGCTGAAAGTTACTAATTATAGCAACTAACAGCCAGGACAATTGGCACAACTCTCCTTCCTGAGATATGTATCACACAATGTTGGGTGTGCATCATTTTTATACAGAGTGAACAGTTGAATATATTAGTTTCCCTGATCTTACTGTTCAAGTCTGAAGCCCACGTTTTCAATCTTATAAATTACAAGCAATAACTGTACTAATGGCTGGTATAAATAACTGATGAGAATAATACTGCACAAAAGGATCTTTAAAGAACACCTTTAAGAGCACAGAATATAGCAGTCCCCTTTCCAACATAAAAGCATCAATAATGGCAACCCTGTGCTAAAGTGTGCCTCAGCTACCTTGTGACCAGCCTGTTTTACACATCAACTGAACATACAACATCCATGACAGCTGAGAGCAGGGAACCTGGTGGTTAACGGTTCACTACACTAGAAACTAACCTCCATGATCCCAGTGTAGTATGAAAATGGTGTTATCCTTAGGCCCTTCACCATAATGTCAGATAAGTGGTAAGGGTACAGCATGAGGTGATCGCGACTATATTTCAGCAGCTCCTCATAGTATTTACGTTCATCTTTCTTGACATGTTTCACTGTAAGAAAAAGAAAATGTCCAATTTTCCCAGGCTTCTTAGTGCTTCACTATAAATATAGTGTAAAATACATACCTTTTAACTTTTCAAACAGTATATAAACTAGGCAAGAGCAAATAAGCTATAGGAACAAAGCAACAATTTCACCACACAAAAATTTTGTCAGTCTTCATACTATGTGTAAGTAAAATGTAATAAGACATATAAGTCAAGGAAAGAATTCTTATCAAATCAAGAGAACAGCATAGAATCCACAGACATAAGCTATGTCTCAGACCCTTAACCACATCCCTTCACAGGATAGCCAGGCCACACACTAGCTTTCAATGAAGTCTATTTTAAAAAGCATTTTGTTTTTTTGTTTTGTGTTAGGCATTGAAAGCAGGGCATGTGTCCACCACTGAGCTGAACAAAACTAGCTGTGAATTCACTCTACAGGCCAGGCAGCCTTGAACTTGCAATTCTCCCAAGTTAGTGTTGCAAGTAACTGAAATTACAGGCCCATGCCACCAGGCCCCCTTTCTTGTCTGTCCATTCATGTATGTAAAGTGTGTGTATTTGTGTGTGTGTGTCTGTGTGTAGGCCAGAGGTTGGCCTCATGTATCATTCCTCAACAGTATTCACCTTGTTCATGTTTAGTTCACATACTTGTGTGTATACATATACACAGTCAAAGGCTAACTTGAGGGAGCCAGTACTCTCTTTCCACCATGAAAGTCCTAGAAATTGAACTCAGGTAGTGAGGCTCAGTAACAACTGTCTTTATTCCAAGAGCTAATCTATCTTGCAGGCCCTCTACTGAAGGATTTCTCACTGGGACCTAGAGCTCACCACTTAGACAAGCTGGCCAGGGAGCCACAGGATCTGCCTGTCTCTGCCTCCTCAGGGCAAAACTTGGAAGCATGTCACCACATCTGTTTAATGTAGGCATTGAACGCTGAACTCAGGTCCCCACATGGTAAGCACTTAACCAAACTGAACTGTCTTCCTTGCTACTATATTGTTTTTCAAATGAAAGAGGCCTTCTGACTTTAACAGAAAATGTTTGTATAGAAACCCTCTGTAGTATTAATGCTTAAAATAAAAGTAGCACATACTATTATGACAGAAAATAACCAAACTAGTTTGATAAAAAATAAATAAGTACTTTAAATGGAAGGGGGAAGAAAAAGACAAAAAACAAAACAAAACAAAAAGCCTCCAAAACCAAAGCCTCATTAAAGTTATAGAACTCAAGAAACTTATGGTGATAAAACAAAACTTAAATCTGAAAATGATCAAGAACTGGTATCCTTTTCCTTCTCTGGCACATTCTCTCACTCGAGTAAAGAGAACACTGAGTTAAGTTTAAGATTTTATAGGGAAAACAAACTTATATACAACACGCTATAAAAGAGTTTTCATTACAACTAGAAAGAAAAATCTACAATATGACTTGCTATTAGGTGGAATGAAGCATCTCAAAGGTTCTTAAAAGTCCATCCATAGAGAAAGTCAGATCTATGCAGTTCACAATGAAAACTGAGACTTATAAAGATGAAGACAGTGTGGTCATCTCCATCCCAGTGTAAAAATGTCTCCACTTACCTAAGTTATTTCTGTAGCGTAATTGATTGCGGATACTGTACAAGACAACCTGTTTCTCATATTCTCTCTGTGAGTTTCCAAGACTCTAAAAGAAATTACACATGGTTATTACACAGTTTCCAGGTTAAAAAAAAAAAAAAAGGGAACCCTAATTTTACCCTGGCATGTCTTAATGCCCAGAAATGAACTGGTAGTGTTTTCATAAGTTCTATTATGTTAACTTTACTACTGTGATATTAAAACAAGATCCCACATATCCCACATGTTTCTTTGTAATGCGCCTTTCTAAATGATTTAAATTTCTCAAAATATTTAAATAAAATAAAAAAGCAGTATGAGAATATAGGTTTACTTGTTAAAAAGACTGTTAACAAAGATTTCCTTTCAGGATATCTCAGATTTAAGTGGGATGGATAGATGGATGGATGAATGGTAGGTGGCTGGATGGATAGTTGTGTAAATGGGTGAACAGATAAATGGGCAGATAGGTGGGAGGACAGGTGGGTGGGTGGGTGGCTGGATAAGTGGGTAGATGGATGGGTGGACAGGTGGGTAGATAGGCGGATAGGTGAATGGGGCAGATAGGTGGGAGGATGGGTGGGTAGATGGATGGGTAAGTAGATGAGTGGGTAGATGGGTGAATGGATAAGTGAGTGGTTGAGTAGGTAGATAGGTAAGTGGATGGATGGATATAGGTGGATGGATGAATGGATGGATGAGTGGGTGGGTGAGAGGGTGGATGGGTGGTAGGTGGCTTCTCACAACCACCCTTATGTAAATTTAAGAATACAACTAAGGAAAGACAGACTGACAACCCAGTCATTCTGGACTGAGCTATGATTAACAGAGATTCAGATTTCTACAGAATAGACATTTCAGATGTGCTAGGGCTGCTTTTATAAAATGCCATTCCCTTACATTTGGACAGTTTTGCTGTTCATGCATACCACCATCCACAAGCTCCATGCAACATTGGGGCCATGACCCTCAGGATACCAAAAGCCATACATAAAACAGCATCATATGTGTGTTTAATCTGCACACATCCTACATTTCCCTGCATATTTTAAATCATCTTAAGATCACTTCTAACATCTACTAACAAATTGTAGACTGTATCACCTACAGAATAATGTTAAGAAATAAATCGGTACACATCAGGATAAACGCTTTTTTGCAATATTTTCAGTCATCAGTAATTGGATCAGAAATGTACACCCTACAGAAATACAGAATTGTATATAATAAACAAAATACTTTCTAGCTGTGCATGCACATAGTGTTTTAACTTCAAAATTGGCACTACGAAAGCAAAGAATAAACATGCTTGATCACAGCCAACACGATATTCATGTGTAACCATAAAGTTAACTTAGTATCTAAATGCTCTCTCATTTCTAATAACTAGGTATAATTTTTTTTTCTGGCACACTATAAGGTTAAACTAGACATCTTTAATAAGAAGATGATTAGAGGATTCAGTTCGTTTTAATTTTTACAAGTTTTTAAAAGCCAAAACCATACATCTATGTTTTACAGTCAGATAAATGAAGCCCCTAACTAAATACCTATCCCATAACTGGACAGACTGCAGGGCTGTGACGTGGAAACTGAAGTCTCCTTAGATTAGATTCACCAAAGCTGGAGGAACGCCCACGCTCAGCCAGCACGGGTGTGCATGAGCTATTTCCACCTGTAACATCCCACGTTCTGGAGTTAAGTGCACTGTGGAGATGCTACCCCAACAATCTTACACAGCAGCAAGGCTATGGCCAAGTACCAAAGATTACTGCGTGCTTCAGAAGGCCAAGCCATCTGTCAAGGTTCCTGTAGCTCTGCTGCAAGGTCTCTCTTTCAGGAAACACCACACACGTTACACACAAGCATCCCATCCTGCTACAATCACAGCAAGTTCCAAACTTGAGGCTTTGGTCTTCTGGTTCAAAGTAAGTCTCTTAAATTGACATTACTTATCTGTACGTGTCCCTGAAGACTGAACTTAACACCACTGGAGTCCTAGGACTAGATGTCAATATCTTGATTGGCCCCATCAGTCAGAATATGGTATGCACACCAATACCTAAAACCACAGTGAATGTTTTATTCTTCCCTCAAGAAATACATAAAGTTAAATATCTGTTCAGCAACTCTTTGACACTCCGCCCTTCTCCAAATCTCCCATCATTTAAACCACTGTTACCACTACAGACCCAGATAGCAGAACAGGGAAAGCCCCTTCAGTAAGACAGAATGGGCTGCACATGGGAAGGCTTGGTGGGTGAAGCTGGGCTTCATGGAACAGGAACTACAGCAGATTAATCGGTCATGTGGGAATGAAGGCTTGCTTACAGAGCAGTCCTTGTACAGCAGATAACCATAAAAGCACGCTTCCTAGCACCAAGGCTCCCACAAATCTCAATGTAGACACCCTAACAGGTACTCCCCTACAAATAGATAGATAGACAGACAGACAGACAGATATAAAAACTGATCCATCAGAAGGGCGTGGTGGTGCACACCTGTAATCACAGCACAATGGGAGGCAGAGGCAGGCAAATCTGTGAGTTCAAGGCCAGCTTGGTCTACAAAGTGAGTCCAGAACAGCCAAGGCTATACAGAGAAACCCTGTCTCAAAAAAACAAAAACAAAAACAAACAAAAAAATTAAAAAATTGACCCATCATAGAATTTCACTTTAGAATTACACATTGTGTAAAACAATGAATGTCTGATATTAGTGAACTTCAGAAAAATCCTGAAAACACTGGCCTGACATTTTTTCCCAAGGCTGAGGAGGGAACCCAAGGCTCTGTACATGCTCAGTCCCTATCTACTGTGCTTGTTCAGTCTGGTGTGACCCACAGAACAAAACAAGTTTTTTCCTCATCTCATCCACTAACTTGTAAGATTTTTTTTTTTTTTTTTTAAATCCAAGTATCCTTCCTCCAGCTTTTCAGAACTGGGAAATGAGTCATTTCCAAATTAAGCCCACCAAAACCTACTGGAAATCATCACATCAACATACTTAGCATTTGATACCAAAATTGATACATTCTTCCTACACATTGTATCAAACAATGAATGCCTGAAATTAGTAAACTACAGAAAAATCCTGAAAACATTCTTTCATACCAAAAAAAAAAAAAAAAAAAAATCACCATTTTTAATACAACTGAGATTTTTATAGCCTTTTAGGAGTCATCTCAAACTGATGCCTCATTACATCTGACAAATAGCTACTAAAAACCAATTACGTACCCAGATGTTTAGGGTGCAAAACATAAGAAAGACTCTAACCAGAAAATGCACCATAGTGAGGTGATGGCTGTGATGGCTAAGAAATAACAGTACAGTATCAACAGGGTTCAGGGTAACTCCTAGGGGGGCTAAAAAGAAGCTATAACAGAAAGCAACAGTGAGAGGACCAGGCTGGCCTTACACGCCTCAGTCCGGGGTAGCGTGAAGAGAGGGTGAGGTCCTATGCTGAGGGTTAGACACCAGGCAGAGAGTTGATGTCATCTACAGTGGACTTAACTTTAGGAAACCATGATAAGGCGGAAGATGGTCTGCAGAAACAAATGTGTACAAACACAGGCCACATTTACCCTAACTGAAAGCAACTGGTACTTTCAGTGACTTCACACACAAAAACGAGTCAGTTTATATTTGGACTTATGTTTTAGCACTGTCCTGTAATTATATTTAATAATCACAATTAAGTTTGAAGAGGCTTTTGCCAGTACTAATTAGAATCAATTATTTAAGTTGGGTATAATCTATTTTAAAAAGGAAATAAAGGACTATTTGTTCTAGTTGTCTTCAAATGTATCTCAAAACATGTTTGTCTAAAGAACAAAACTAACTGCCAAAACCCTCATTCAAACTTAAGAGAACCTTATTCCCGAAGGTTTAGTCTTGGTTTTTCAAGCTGCAGAAAATGACTGACATTCTAAAGACCTTTGTCCCTGATACACACCTTGCTTTAGCTAGGGTTCTGGTGTCTTTAAAGCATTTTTGTCATGTGATGCTTACCAGACCCGCAACTCATTCCCTAGAACTAAGACTCAAAGTAAACTACAATTATCATAAAACCATTACCACCACCATTCCATACATTCCAAAAGCAGACCTGCTGCCCATCACCACGAGAAAACAGAAATCAATGGGATGGCAAGAGAAACAGCGCCCTGGAAACAGTGGCACACACATCTGTAGCATATGTATCACTACCTTCGTAAGCCTTCAAACCACCTGTCGTGCTCTGTCTCATCCATCAGTTCATTTACTCTGTCGTTACTAAAACACACACTCTGGAGGCAGGATCTTTGTCTGACTGCTGCAAACTATATGCACCCAAAGGCAGGCATAACATCTAGTAGTGTGCTCAATAAACATGCTAAACAAATTAGTAAGACTGCCATTCAACGTAAGCATTAGATTAAAAAAGAAGAAAACAACCACCTCAGGTCATGCTCCTGTTGACACAGGCCTTGTAAACCCATTCTGTGTGAAGGACTACCCTTCCAGCCTCAGCAGCTACCAACCCTCACACCTTCAGAAGCAAACGCTTTCAAATGCATCTAAACCTATCTCCGCCCTTCGGTGATGGTTCCCTGCTCTGCAGACTCGTCCTTCCCTCTCACTGGGGGAGGAGGGTCTTCGTTCCTTATCTTTATTAACTTTTACTGGTCTTCCAGGGTCAACTATAAATGCTTTCAGTTAACATCCAACTCTAAACAGGCAACCTAACTCCCCCATACACTACAGAGGAGGGACGTATGAACTGTCGCTCTGTACTGTATGCACTGTTCTCATCCTTCTCCCATCACCCTTTATTTTAGAACCCAGGAGCGCAGGCGCCTGGCTTAGAGAGTTTGCGGGCCGAGGTACAGGCGAGTCCGGGGAACACCATCCCAGACGCCTTTGGAGCCGGCGCACGCCGCGGCCCAGTTTTCCCGAGCCCCGGGCTGTCAGGCGACAGGCGGGCGGGGCAGCGCCGTACCTGTCTCACGTTGGCTGGCAACTTGCTCCAAGGGTAGTTGTGCCGGATATGGAACTCAACGTCGATGTTCATGGTGCCGGAGCCCAGGTCGGCGGTGGCCGCGGGTCCCACGCCGCCTCCCGCCCGCTCGCGCCCGGCCCGTCAGCGGAGCCCGCGGGAGGCCGTAGGCCTTAGGCCGCGCGAGCCCGGCGCCGCCCCATGGCCAGGCCTCCACAGCTCCGCGCGACGCGGGCCACGGGGCACGGTGGCGGCGGCTACGACCCGTGCCTCAGCAGCTCCAAGTTTCTTCCTAGTTTCGGCCTGCCGGAAATGGCTCTGCCCCGACGTCACTTCCGCCCGCTGGCGAGCGGTTGAGGGTGGAGCTTCGCCCCCCGCACGTGGTTGAGCCGTGCGAGGAAGGCGGAGCCCGGAGACCCCCGGGCGCCCGGCCAGCTGCGCCTGCGCCCGAGAAGAACGGAGGTACCCCGATCGGCGCTGCTGAGCTTGTGTGACTCAGTTTCCCCAGTGGGTGACCCCAGTGGCTCTGGACGGGCAGCTAAAGGCCCTGAGGCCGTTTGTCTGAGCAAAGGCGCTGCTAACGCGAGAACCACTCCCGCCACCCGGCCGAGCAGGACAGGGTCTCTGAGAACACGGACTGTGGCAGTGCCCCCACCCATTGGGCTGGAGTCGCTAGTGTCGTCATCCCTTCCAAACACTGACTGTATCCTGGGGATGGAGAACGTTGGACTCCTTCCAAGATCCAAATTCTTAAAATGTGGGGATCTGAGGAACAGATGTTTTAACTAGCTTCGGTCGCTTGCTTTTTAAAGGCGGAACTCGCGTGGTATCCCTCCAGCCCTCCTGAGGTCTTTGGGAACGATTTCTTCCAGAGTATATTATATTTCCTAAGCAAGCTCATTGATGACTGGCAACAGTAAGACACAAGTTCAGTGTTTCTTTGCCTATTTTTCATCTTAAAGCAATGTTTTTAAGTCATGTCTCGTTATGCACTACAGATACGAACTGAAAACATTTAAGATGCTTGCTTAACCCATACCTCAACAACTGGCAAGTCTGAGGCATACTCATTATATCTAATTGAAACTGTTGTGGTAGTCGCCACTCTTGCATAGGTGTGTTGATCTGGTTATCCTATTGTAGTAGCTTTGTATCCTGTTGAGGCCCTCAACAAAGCTAAGATAAGTTCCTGAACTGCAACAATGGGGAAAGTCTTCAAAAGTACAACCTGCCTACTACGTATCAACCACTTGCCTTGTGATACATTGTCATCTTTCGCCATTCTGTGAAAGACTGCCGCAGCTCCCAGCCCTATTAGAAGAATAAAGTGAGGTTGATGGGGTCACATGACTAGTTCACAAGATTGCTCAGTATGACAGATTTTTTTAATATTTGTTATTTTATGTATATGAGTGTTTTGTCTGCGTGTATGTATGTGCACCACCCGTGTGCCTTGTGCCTTCAAAGGTCAGAAGAGAGCCTCAGGTACCTGGTCCCCCGAATTGCATTCCAGACACCTGAGCTGGGAACTAAACCGAAGTCCTCTGCAAAAGCAGCAAGTGATTTTAGCTGCTGAGCCATCTCTCAGGCCCAGCCCAAGGCTGCTTAATAGAAACACCTTTTGAATTCCTCAGGGACAACATTCAAAAATGTTCTACCCCCTCCTCCAGTTTAGGAAAGTTCATTCGTTTTTAAATCCCTACAAATCTTTATTTCAGCTGCTGAGAACAGTTAAGCTAGAATGACCCTATTAAATTCAACTTTTTGTATTTCAAATAGTATTAATTCTAACGCAGACTCAGCAGAAGCTAGTAATGGTCAGTGGATGCTTGCATGTCCAGACCTTTGAAAATCTTACCATGGTGACTTATAAAGGCTCAGTTTGTAGCCCCCAAAAGCAGATATTCGAAGGAGAAATAACGTTAAAGCAAAGCGGTGTGGACAGGAAAAAGAAAAATAGCAGTTTCTTTAGAGCGGGAATCAGTAACCGGTCAATTTGTAAAAATACAAGATGCTGCCCCCATTTCTCTCGAGGTGACAAGGAAACAAAGCAATTCTGGTCATTCATATCAACTAACCCCCGAGGTTCATTCAGTGCCTGCTGTGTGGAAATTCCAGGAACAAGACAGCTCCCTAGGCATCAGAAAGGAGAAAACTGTTAATTGGGTTCCATGAGCAGCTTTGGTGTCTTGGACAATTTTGGAAAACAGTAATACCTGTTCTTTTAAATTTTTGATTGGGCCTCTGCCTTTCAAATTCCAGAGAGATCAGAAACTACAGAGCTTTGTTGCCGGACCCATCCCACAAGCCACCATCCAAAGACACCTTCAGGGTAAACAGTAGGTTCAGATATGCAAGTGCCATAAGCTTCCTTCATAGCCAGCTACACTAGATCAAATTAAGAAAAATCACCCCACTGGCAACCTGAGCATGTTTTTAAAAAGTAATGATGATCTCATTATAGCTCAGGCTGGCCTTGAACTCACTACATAGCTAAGGATGTCACTGAACTTCTGATCCTCCTGCCTTTACCTCCTCTGTACTAGGATTACAGGCATGTGACATTGTACCTGGCCTGGCAATCTATTCTTTAGAAAGACTACCAAACTATTTTATTCCCAAAATTTCAAAAGAGATAATAAGGAAGAGCAATTTTTAATGAGGAGCTGTTGGATAACCCTGCTCACAGAGCCCAGACCAGTGTGCCCTATGGCAGAAAGAATAATGGCTCTCAACAATGCCCACGCCCAAACTTAGAAGTGCTTCCTTCTTGGCAATGTGATTAAGATACACTTGAGACAGGGAAATTATCTTGGGCTATCTAAATGGGCATAGGGTAATGGTGGGGCCCTTAGCTACGGAAGCAGATGGGCAGACGGATGGATGAAAGAAGTGGAAGTCTGATTTGGGATCACAGCCAAGGCTGTGGAAAGCAAAAGGATTTGAAAAAGGAAATGGATTCTTCCTTAAACCTCGGGGGGGGGGGGGGGACACTCCTACCAAGACATTTGAATTTCTGATATCCTTTACTGTAAGAAAATAAATTCTTTCTTAAATTTATTTATTATTAATTACAGTTTATTCACTTTGTAGCCCAACTGTATCCCCCTCCCTCATCTCCTCCCAGTTTCACTCTCCCTCTTCTCCATCCATGCCCCTCCCCCAGTCCACTGATAGGGGAGGTCCCTTCCATCTGATCCTAGTCTTATCAGGAGTGGCTGCATTGTCTTCCTCTGTGGCCTGGTAAGGCTTCACCCCCCCCCCAAGAAAATAAATTCTTAATTTCAAGCTTACAACATGGAGATTTGTCACAAGAGCAATAGGACATTACTCACCCAACAAAATACTCCCATATCCAAACAAGTGATGTATAAAATTACATAATTACAGTTCTCCAGTTCCAAATGCAAGTATCTTTTGGAAGAATAATCCTCTTAGCATTAATATGTGAGGAAAAATGAATTACCATATCATTTTCATAGAGTAACTTGAAAGAAGAAATGCTCAGATTAAATGGAGTCAGGAAATAGTTTCTAAGACAAAAAGAAGGAAGCCACTGAACACACTTTAAATTCCACGCTTACTCTGAGCCTGTCCTTGGCCATGGGTTCATTTCAGATGTGCTTGGCTCTGTTCCAAGGACTAGTTCATCACCTCACACATTTGGATTTGGTTGATATACCCCTAGGCTTTTGTCCTGGCTAATTTCTCTGTGCCCTTTCCCATCTTGGAGGAGACGGCTTTGTGTCACTAGAGTGGCCTTCCTCAATACTCTGCTGGCTTAGTCACCTCTTTAATTTGTGTTCTTCATTGCAAGGAATCACGGGCTAACATTTAATGTCTGTCTATCTGTTGTCTATCTTTCTCTAGAAAGAAGGATTTTGTTTCATTCCTCAGTCTCTCTTCAGTACCCTGAACTAGGTTTCAAGCATAAGTGCGTAGTACCAGATGCACTGAGTGAATGAAGTAGCTATGTGACAGCCAAGCTCACAAATATTATGTTGTCAAGCCTTGCCTGACCATCTTGTTCACATCTCCAGCCCTCTGCCACCTAAAACACTGCATTATTTTTCTCCATAGAAGGAAGCTGGCACATAATGCCATCTAATGTAGTTAGTGATTTCATTGTTATAAATCATCTTTTTTTTTTCCAAGACAGGGTTTTTCTGTGTAGTCTTGGCTGTCCTGGACTAACTCTGTAGATCAGGCTGGCCTTGAACTTGCAGCAATCCACTTGCCTCTGCCTCCCGGAGTGCTGGAATTAGAGGTGTGCACCGCCGCACTCAGCTTATAAATCATCTTATACTACATCAGAAGCTTCCCAAAGTCGGGAGCTTTACCGCTTGTTCAAGCTTACATTAGCTCATAGTAGGCACTCAAAAAAAACACTAAACGGATGGACACATGGAGTAGAATTCTCATGGAAATCCACATTAGAGGACTTGCTTGAAAATTTGGAAAGTCCAAGCACTTCCCACACCAGCCGGCGGAGCTGGTCACAGATGGCCTTTCTAAGACACAAGGGCCAGCGCTTCCCAATCACCACCACCACTTCCTACTACTCTCTGCTGTGGTGGTTGCTCATGGTAGAAATCATCAACACCTTGCTGAAATGGAGAAGTGCTTCTGCACATCAAAAGAGCAGAAAACAGCGGCTAGATAGAGCATCGCAGCCAGCCACCCTCTCTTGGAAATATTACCACGGTGTCAGCTCCCTTTACTCATAGCACCATTCACTCCCTTTAGGGGTTTGGGGTACAGAATACCCATTTCTGTGATGCTCATCCCCATTTCTCTACATAGAAAACAGGCACCGAATGGAATTCTAAAAAAAACCAAATGCAACATCGGAGAGGGCGGGAGGAGAGGAGCAACATAGGACATTTCCCTTTGCATTATGGAGTTTCTGTGAATAGTGGGAGCATTGTGGTTCACGTCAGGAATTCCTTCACTCAATCTCAATCATCAGTAATTTCTTCACTCAACAGGAAGGATCGCTGAAAATTCTAGGATAGTTCTAGCTACATAGTGAGCTCAAGGCTAGCCTGAGCTAACAAGGAAACCCTGTCTCAAAAGGAAAAAGCAAAGGAGTTTCTGGGCTGCCCCTTTTGCAAATGATGGCAAACAAGTGAAGACATGCAACTTATCTTGGAGAGAAGTGGGAAGGTGCTCCGCCATCAGCTTTTTCAAAAGACAGCGCTCCGTATCTGCATATAAACAAGGAGCAGTCTGCCTCTACCATCCGGAGCCAGTGTGCATCCCAAACATTCTCCATCTGAACTGTCAAACCAAACGGC